ATGAAAATCAAACAATTTGAATTTGAGAAAAAACAATTGAAGTACATTTTTTCTCATTTCTGAACTGCCAAGTTTTTTTAAATGGTGGTGTAGTAGTAGTAGTAGAAGGTTCATGCTTGGCTAATTTTACTACTTTTAATTTTAAGGGTGTGTTGCATTTTTTATCTTACATTCAAGAAAAACTGAACAGTTTGAGAACCTCTGTCGCCTGCCCCTAGGTTTCTGCCTGTAAATCACTTTTGCTGCTCTACACTCCGGCATCCTTTCAATATGTCCTGTCCAGCACAGTCTGCCTTTTTTTAATATTGCGACTATGGGCTACCCATAGTTGCTTCTAGCAGATACTTCCACAACTGTTTCAGTGATGGTGGCTAATACTGTCATGGGACATCTATTTCAGGGTTTTAATTGATCAAACACTGACATAGTAATAGAATGTAGAAGTCTGCTAATTTGTGGTCAATTAATAACTATGAAAGACTTTTTTTATATTGATCTGACCATGATGAACAAAAGTTTAGACATGATTATTTGAGCCATGTGGTGTCAATCTGGTTTTTTAATATGGGTTTGGATGTTTGGGGTGTCATCCAGGATGGTTTGTGGGAGGATCTAGTACTAGGGTGTATATCTAGTTTGGGTGGCAGCAGGCGTTTGGGGTGTCAGTCTAGCTATTATTTAGAGCGTAAACCTAATTGATATTTAGTGCAGGCCTGTTCACTCTTACAATTTCGGTGTACAATGTATGATTTTGAGATGTCTTTAAACATTGTACGCCAAACCCATCAGAACTACGATTTAAGAGACTCTGTAAAAAAAAAAAAGTTCCATTATTTTTTCCTATTAAAAATAAAAATGATTACATTTTCGCGTTTTGAAGTTTTAGCCCTTTTTATAAACACCTGACAGTGAATGGACAGAGAAAAGCGATTGTCTCAGTTTTTAAAAATTTTGGGATCATCCTTCATTAAATTTCATGTGCATTGAGAAGAGAGGTGGGGGTTTTTGAATGAGGCTCATGACTAGGGTGATAAAGTTTGGTGATGATTGTCATATTGTTGATTGTGTGTCACAATGAACTAGCTAGATGTGGCAACGGTAATATTTAGCCTAGTCACCCTAAAGAAAACTTGATTCAACCTTTGTCCGCTCCCATGCGTGGGACATTGTTTTGTGACATAATTCGGCCTATTTCTTTTGTCTGACCCACAACGATTGTGAAAACGGAGAAAACAAGGGATGTTTACTGATTATTTTTTATGAAATGCATTTTAAACTGTTCTGCAAAAGAACTTTTGGTTTAGAAATATTTTATATCTAGTTCGATATTTAGTACTTGCAAAGCAGCTCTATCTCCTGTGTGATTTTAATACTGCTACAGTTTGGTATCACCAGCACCTTGGTAATTAAGTATGTATTAACAACGCACTCCTCTAAAAGGAATAATATTCTGGTTGGTTGATTGAGATTGAGACCGCAAAGGACAATCACTGTCATTTTTATTCGATTGTTTAGGGCGTTAACACAAAAAATGCTGTAACTTTTTACTAAAAACAGACCAATTATTTATTTTTTATTAAAAATAAACCAACCAAACTCCCAAAACCATATACTAAGGTTCGCCATAGTCTAAAGCTTAAAAACGTAGTTACTAGAGCATTAGTGTAGGGGTAAACAGGTCTGCAATTTCACCAGCCATTTTTTGGCTGTGGGGGGCGAACCCCCTGGTCCTAGACCCACAGAAAATCTGGTCACTATACCTTCTCCCAATACAGCTTGCAGTAGTTTTAGACAATATGATAATGGAAAATAAATCAGGCTTCTAGGCTTGATGCAGGGGTGGGCAACCTGCCACGTTAAATGTTGTGGTTTCTTCTTCTCCTATATCTTAAGGGCCCACAATCAATTTATTGATCATTCTGGCTCCTATGCATGTAGAGGGGATTTGCAATGTTTCTGTGGCTGGTGTTGATGAGGATATTTCACTGGTTGCAAGGGCTATTTATTGAAGGTATCATGCAATGGGGTTGGAAGGCCTGAGGCAATAGATGCAAATGTGTCAAGTGTTGTCTCCTCAACTGTTCCTTTTGGAAGCTTGTTCCAGTCCCTGATTGTCTTGGGCAGGAATGAGCAGTTCCTATACTGGCTTCTTGCTGGTATGGGCCGGAACTGCCTGTCATGGCCTCATCGCTGTCTATGTGGGAGAGGGATGAGTTTCTGTTTATTGCTGGAGCAGTGGAACTGCCCATCATTTATCTTGTACATCATGGTCTGCTGGATGTATTACAAATCTCACCATACTCTCATTGTTTTTTTAAGTGTCTTGGTGATGCTTCACTACAGAGACTCTCATTGTTTTTGTAAGTGTCTTGGTGATGCTTCACTACAGAGACTCTCATTGTTTTTGTAAGTGTCTTGGTTATGCTTCACTACAGAGACTCTCATTGTCTTGTAAGTGTCTTGGTGATGCTTCACTACAGAGACTCACGTTGTTTTGGTAATAAATGGTGTTCATCACAGTACACTTTTATTTCTACAGAAGTTGAATATAAACTAATTGTTTGAACTCCCATTTTAGGAGTAGCTAAAGTGCCTGTGGTACTTGAGCTTGCCAATAAGTTTGAAGGAAACATTTTAAAGGTTTATGAAGAAGCCTTTTGTAAGTCAACTTGAAAGCACTAAGCCATTAAACTGGAACTCGGTTGTCAGCAGAGCATGTGATTCTAATTTTATTACACAGTAACATTTTTTGTTCTTTATAAGATAAATACCATTGGCTAGGCCAAGTGGATAAACACTTTTATGCAATCACCATCAAATTTTTAGCTTGACATCTAAATAATAACCCAACTCCAGCACAATGACACCAGTTGAGTTTGAATAATCTTGCACAAAGATAGCTTGTTGGTTCAGAATTAGCTTAGTATTTGACAATGTTCTGTCCCCAGTTCAATTACGAATCATCTTTTATGGATTTAGTGTAGAATTAAAGGATATGTAGATTTGTACATTTGTATTAACTGTGCCAATCAGATATACTAAATTTGGTGTGTGTAATATCCATGCATGATGAAGCTGAGTTCCCACTTAATGTCTGCATTCCTTTAAACATTGGAAACTTTGAAAATTTAAAGCATGGTTTTATTTCTTGAATAAAATGTTCCTGTGTTGCAATTGCATTTTTTCCATTTAAGATAAGATATGACAATATTCTTTTATTGATCCAAATAAATTTTTTTTATGACATTGGATTTATTTTTCAGCACATAGAAAAATACATATTTTAACCAAGAAAACATTTAAAAGAAGAACAGTTAAAACACGAGACAACTGAAGTATTCCTCTAGCATAAAATCACCCATCATATACCAAAACAGATAATCTTCCTTGGTGACAATAATGAATTTAGAATTTTTTAAAGGATATTAGAGCATTTAATGATCAGATAGCATTTAGTAAAATTTAAATTATATACTGTTAACATAATTTTATAACATCAATAAGACCAAATGCAAAATGAGATATTTTGTTTAGTGATTAGTATTTGAAGGAAGATTAATTATGTGACAAAAAAAGATTATAGTAACATGAATTAAAAATCTGTATAGACATCAGCCATTTCATTCAATTGTATTACTTGTATCTGAAAGAGAAATACATAAACCAGGTATTTAATTTTATATCTGCCATTGCTATCACATAATTATCAAATATCGGTAATAAAATATACCTTTTCTCTTTTCAGCTGAGGAACAAACAAATATAAATGAGGTAATTACAACTGCTTTACAAGTGTTTTGATGTTTTTCTCAGCAAAGAATATTTCGTTATGATATTACATATTTTTTTAAATACAAACTTTTAAATAACCAAATTGCCTGCTTCAGTAATCTTTTTAAAAAACACAAGGAATCAATTTCATTCAATCATTGGATGCAGAACTATGTAGCCAAAATTAAAAATTTCTTATCTATAAATGAGCCAGAACAGAATCAGCACAAAGAAAAGTGTGTTGACATTATAATTTGATCTATACATTTTGATGTCAACGAAAACTCAATGAAATTGGTCATGCACTTAGAATATTATTTGTGAACATTTTGAGCCATGTTCAAGGACTGGTTGATGCAACAGTTCATCCTTTCCTCATCTCTCTGTATTTTAGTTGTTAATATTTCATGCCTTGAATTTATCATATAAACTATACACTATTCTTAAGTTTTATTTGGCAATATTTAATATTATGACTAAAGCCACCTACATTTCACAAAATGCTCTCTCTGTCCCTGACATTTTTCTAATATTTTTGTAATATAATGTATTGTATTTATTATGTTTGTCTAGTTCAAGCCACCAATAGCTACTGAAGTATCACAAACAATTATTGAAGAAAAAGCCGGGGGAGATTCTACCAAAGAGCCAGTGAGTCCTACATTACAGCAAGTGATGGCCAATGTCAATGCATCGGATGAGGAGACCGTACGAAAACTTAGGAAGGGCCAAGGGGACCTAGGCCAATCCAACCCGCTTGATAAAGATATGTACAGTACAAGATCTTCTTAAGTCATAGGCAGGAGTAGTTGGATATCAACTTTGATAGTGCTTTCATAACTGGGGACTCAACAAACTAGATGTTTTTATTTCTTTGGAGGAAGTTTTCATTATTTTCTTTCCAGAAAGGTCTCTCTGCTCTTATATTTTGTGTCCCACAGGCTGTCACTATGTATTTCATGTAAGACAGATGACATTTATACAAATATAGCTCGCTTATGTTATTTGTTTGAACAGCAATTTGGTTAAACAAGTGTAGTGATAAATCATTAAAATTCATGAATAAATTCAACAACATTTTAACAAGAAAAATTACTAAATGTGCCTCGTACTGTCCTTATTTCTTTGTGCTGCCTACAAATAATTGACAAAATCAGTTTGAAATCATTAAAGGGAAAAAAGTATTTTATTTTGTAAATATGTTTCCTTCATTGAGTACGTGTGAAATTGCTTGTGTAATTTTTATAATATAAATATAAGATAAACATTTATTTTGCAGTTGGAAAATACTTTTTTTTTTAATAATTAAAAGCTATAAGAAAACTACCATAAAATTTTTGAAGTCATGGATTTTTCTGAAAGAATTTTATTTTTGTGTCCTGTGTTTTTTAAAATAAAAGAGCCATATAATTAAAACAACTTCTCTAACATTTTTGTACATATTTTAGCAGATGCGTGTTAGCAAAGATATCGACACATACATTCTAAGAAAGGCATTTTGATATCATAACCAAGATTTTTCCAAACAGAATTTTGTAAATATTTCTAAACATTTTATCAATGTTGACATCAGTACAAAATTCTAATTAAACCCCAACTAAATATTTACCAACAAATAACAGTACACGCATTGTTACTTCCAATATAAATATGATTTAAAAACGTGCCAGCAGTTACCATTTTCTCTTGAAATTTCAATCACTTAAAGATGTTAAAATAAAATATATTACAAAAAAAAGTGAATTAAAAAATGAAGATGGTGTCTACAAATCAATGTGGGTGGCAATTGACACTGTCACTTAATAAAACACAAACAAATTTGGTGTACATAAAAAATAATTTATCTTTAACAAAACAAAATTACACTTTAGGATATTTGAATGCCTTAAGAAAGATTAAAAAGGAATGAAAGAACTTGAGGCATGGTAGCAAAGGTCTTGTGAGCCGGGTACGGCAGATGATTTTGGGTAGGAGTTTTAAAAAACAAGTCCTTTGAATGGGAAAAGTTGCTGCAAGTTGAAAAAATTGTCTTGTCTGCCTAGTCAGTACATGTAAGAAAATGTTTTTTTTTTTAAATGATAGGTGTCTAAGTTTCATGAGATAAAAAGATATGCCACATCAGATGTTAAGACAGAGTATATTAACATTCTTTTATAGACTGAGTTAATACTATTTATGCCATCAAAATCAACTTTGTAGACAGATACAGAGCATATTTGGTAGAGGGTCTAACACCACTGGTATATATTTTTTGTTCTAGCTATGTTTCCTAACATCTAAAATAACTGTCATAATATTTTACATGGTTGTCAATCTTATTTGGCAAAGATATGCAACATTTTCTACTCTGATCAACCCTGCCAAGTGCACATGTAAAGTACCGTACAGAAAAAGCCTTCTTGAATTTAAATTTTTTTTTTTTTTTTTGTTATAAATGCGTGAAATTATATCAAGTTTAAAAACAGACTTAATCATATATATTAATAACGTAACATATTTACCCTCTCATTTTACAATCAACTATACATTCTTTTAACTATTAAATTATGGTATTATAAGCTACACAGTAATACATAAAATATCTAATTGTATTGGGATATACTTTCCAAATCTTTCAAAATGCTTGTTTTTCTTTTTAACTTGGTCTCCTGTAAAATGAAGATAAAAAAACGTTAAAACTCCATCATAAAGTTATATCAAAATTCTTCCCCTAACTGCTCGAGAGGAAGAATCTGAATTTCAAGATCTGTCTTGTTTCCAATGAATGTGGGCCTTGAAGTTGAGTTTGCTCCCTTAGCAACTTGACTTCCCTCTCCAATCAAACATCAGGAGGAGAGGGCTACGTTAAGTCAGCTATTTGCAAACCCTTTGTTTTTTTTCTTCTGATATTACTGGGCCCGAGTTCTAGATTCTGCAGCGCCCTTTAATTATAAACTAGACCTGCACAACTACAAATGTGATGAGAGGGCTATGCTACATGATGGAAAACTGCTGCTGACTGAAAGAAAATAGGGCAGGTGGAAAAGGTATTCTGGGTGGCCGAGTGATCTAAACTGAGTCAGCTCAACCTTGAGGACTGGAGTTCAATCCCCAGCAAAAACAGCGACTTGGGTGGATGGGACTTGTTGACCTTTTGGATGGCAACTCAGATAAGGCAAACTTAAATCACACCCAGAGATGGTTTGAATATTTATTTTAACATTTGGGTCATAGAATGAACAATAAGTAACAAAAGACTGAAAACCACTATACAAAAAAAAAGAAATAGCAAAACAAAGTATGTGGATGCTTGAATTAGAGAACAGGACGTTTCGGCATAAAGCCTTCTTCAGCTAACAGTACAAATGAAAATATCACAAAGAACAGAGCACAGTAAACAACTCAAGAAATTCTAAACAGAGCAAGTAACAACAAGGTTAGGACAAATACACACAAGAGGTAGCAGTCAAGGACTAGAAAATATAAATTAAAGGACTGCTTTCAAGCCTAGTAAATGAATGAAATAGCAAAACGAGGTATATGGAAGCTTGAATTAGAGAACAGGACAAAAAGATAGGACTGTATTTGTCCTAACCTTGTTACTTGCTCTGTTTAGAATTTCTTGAGTTGTTTACTGTGCTCTGTTCTTTGTGATATTTTCATTTCTACTGTTAGCTGAAGAAGGCTTTATGCCGAAACGTCCTCAGCTTTTTGTCCTGTTCTCTAATTCAAGCTTCCACATACCTCGTTTTGCTATTTCATTCATTTACTACACTTGAAGGCAGTCCTTTAATTTATATACAAAAAAGAAACAGTACCAAAGCTAGTGATGCTAAAAATATTCCATTGAGTTCTACTATCCAATTTCTATAAAAATTCAAAACAGAAACAAAGACATATATCAACTAACAGCACAGCAAGTCAAAAGGTACAATCCTCTAAAAATACAATATTAATTTACACACAAAAATAAATACAATATGACAATCATATTAAGTCTCCTGAGTGTTTAGGAAATATAGCAAAATCTTTTCCCTAGGAAAGCTGCGGGCCTATATATTTAAGGATTAAATCAGAACTTTCTAACAAAGAAATTCTAAAATTGCGTCACCTGATGGCAAACTTGAGAACAAATAGAAATATTATAGAACATATCCGCAATATACCAACCACCCAGGCCTTCAAAACTGCACTCAAAACACATCTCTTTAAACTATACTACCCTGACTGATTTCCCTCCTCTGACTGATAAATGATCTTGTTGACAGCCGTCCATGGTTTGCCTTGTAAAATTCCTGGGGTTCATGCTGATCTTTATTTCATAATTGTATTTTATTTTAATGCCATGATTAGGTCTCGTTTGATTATATTTTTATGTACAGCACGGTACCGCGCTATAAAAGACCACTTATTATTATTATATCAAAGCAAAACAAAGGGGAGACAAGTTGTGGTGGCCACAATGCTAACATTAGGCCTACACACATGCCATTACAGTTATTATTCCTTTCATGACTAGTATACATCTGAGAAAAAGGGATTTACATTTTTAAAAATAATATTGTGCATGTTCACAAAAGGCTTTCGGTCACAGAGTGAGTTTTGGCAGTGGCAGGATGGTCCACATGTTGTGCAGGCCTAGTTAAAAACTATAAAATTATTTTCTTCTACCACTTTGAACCAAATCTTAATAATTTAAACAAAAATAACTGGCATTAGCAGAATGGATAGATTTGAAACAATAAAAGAGCTCTTGATTGAAACAAATATTGGCAGAGATTAAAAAAATATAATCAAATTACAAGGTTGCAGTATCATTATAACATAAATTATTCTCAGCTGTCACAGCATCATTATAATGAAAATTATTCTCAGCCGTCAAAGCAGCATCATTATAACATAAATTATTCTCAGCTGTCACAGCAGCATCATTATAACATAAATTATTCTCAGCTGTCACAGCTTCATTATAATATAAATTATTCTCAGCTGTCACAGCAGCATCATTATAATATAAATTATTCTCAGCTGTCACAGCAGCATCATTATAACATAAATTATTCTCATCTGTCGCAGCAGCATCATTATAACATAAATTATTCTCAGCTGTCACAGCAGCATTATAATATAAATTATTCTCAGCCGTCAAAGCAGCATCATTATAACATAAATTATTCTCAGCTGTCACAGCAGCATCATTATAACATAAATTATTCTCAGCTGTCACAGCTTCATTATAATATAAATTATTCTCAGCTGTCACAGCAGCATCATTATAATATAAATTATTCTCAGCTGTCACAGCAGCATCATTATAACATAAATTATTCTCAGCTGTCACAGCAGCATCATTATAACATAAATTATTCTCATCTGTCGCAGCAGCATCATTATAACATAAATTATTCTCAGCTGTCACAGCAGCATCATCATAAATTATAAATTATTCTCGGCTTTCACAACAGCATCATAATAACATAAATTATTCTCAGCTGTCACAGCAGCATCATTATAACATAAATTATTCTCAGTTGTCACAGCAGCATCATTATAATATAAATTATTCTCAGCTGTCACAGCAGCATCATTATAACATAAATTATTATCAGCTGTCACAGCAGGTATTATAACATAAATTATTCTCAGCTGTCACAGCAGCATCATTATAACATAAATTATTCTCATCTGTTGCAGCAGCATCATTATAACATAAATTATTCTCAGCTGTCACAGCAGCATCATCATAAATTATAAATTATTCTCGGCTTTCACAACAGCATCATAACATAAATTATTCTCAGCTGTCACAGCAGCATCATTATAACATAAATTATTCTCAGCTGTCATAGCAGCATCATTATAACATAAATTATTCTCAGCTGTCACAGCTTCATTATAATATAATTATTCTCAGCTGTCACAGCTTCATTATAATATAAATTATTCTCAGCTGTCACAGTAGCATCATTATTACATAAATTATTCTCAGCTGTCACAGCAGCATCATTATAACATAAATTATTCTCAGCTGTCACAGCAGCATCATTATAATATAAATTATTCTCAGCTGTCACAGCAGCATCATTATAACATAAATTATTCTCAGCTGTCACAGCAGCATCATTATAACATAAATTATTCTCAGCTGTCACAGCAGCATCATTATAACATAAATTATTCTCATCTGTTGCAGCAGCATCATTATAACATAAATTATTCTCAGCTGTCACAGCAGCATCATCATAAAATATAAATTATTCTCGGCTTTCACAACAGCATCATAATAACATAAATTATTCTCAGCTGTCACGGCAGCATCATTATAACATAAATTATTCTCAGCTGTCACAGCAGCATCATCATAACATAAATTATTCTCAGCTGTCACAGCAGCATCCTTATAACATAAATTATTCTCAGCTGTCACAGCAGCATCATGATAAATTATAAATTATTCTCGTCTTTCTCAACAGCATCATTATTATATAAATTATTCTCAGCTGTCCCAGCAGCATCATAACTTAAATTATTCTCTGCTTTCACAGTGGCATCATTATAACATAAATTATTCTCTGCTTTCACAGTGGCATCATTATAACATAAATTATTCTCAGATGTCACAGCAGTAAATGCACCATATAAATGGGAGACAATTAAAAGCTGTTCTTCATTTTTTAAAATTAATTATTGACCACCATAAACAAGACCCAATTTGTTAAAAACCAATTTACATCTGGCCAAAAACTGAATTTTAACAAAATTAAGTGATATGATAATTTATGTATTACCTCCTCTGCTAGAAGTTTTTCTCCTCTGTAAAATCTTGCTTCTATAGAGCCTATCTGTTTCAGCTTTTTCTCCATCTTTTTCTTTTGTTGCTTCAGCTCTTCACAACTCATCTGAATTGAGATCATTAAAAATAACTAATAACTTAGCTGCAGTGAATCATTTAAATTTCTTTAAATAAATAGCGGAACAAAGATATGTTAAGGCTTGGAAAAAAATTGTTTTGAAGATAAAACAGACGGACAGAAAGAAGACCAGTTATAGTCTGCATATTGTGCAGTGATTAATCCAACATATAGGAGATCAGTTGTTATAGTCTGCATATTGTGCAGTGATTAATCCAACATATAGGAGATCAGTTGTTATAGTCTGCATATTGTGCAGTGATTAATCCAACATATAGGAGATCAGTTGTTATAGTCTGCATATTGTGCAGTTTTTTTTCCCCCAAAACCCGACTCATTTTTGTGCAAATTTGTTAAAAAAATTGTGTCAGCCCTTCTACAGCAATAGGTTGTGTCACACTGGGTTTATTATGTTATGGGTTGTGTCACACCGGGTGTGTCATGTTATGGGTTGTGTCACACTGGGTGTGTTATGTTATGGGTTATGTCTCATATAGAAAGGCATCTAAGTAGTAGCAGAGAAGAGAAAGACACTAAGTATAAGTGTGCAGTATGAAGTAGCAGGGCAGGGTAAGACACTGTAAATGTAAGACTTAAGTAGGAAGTAGCAGGGCAGGGTAAGACGCTGTAGTGTAAGACTTTAGTAGGGAAGACGCTGTAGTGTAAGACTTTAGTAGGGAGTAGCAGGGCAGGGTAAGACACTGTAAGTGTAAGACTTTAGTAGGGAGTAGCAGGACAGGGTAAGACACTGTAAAACTGGTAAAACATCTTCTAAAGATGAATAACTGACATGGTCTTTGTGCGCTTGTCTATTTAAAATTCTTAATTATTTTTAACAATAACTACACTTTGAAAAAATCAAAAATTATTTAGTTGGACCACATCTTCAGACGCAGATTTTGAGAAATCATTTTTAACTTTTGACAATTATTTTGTAGACCAAGACTGTACCTTAGGGTAGTCCTTGTTACGTCTTGTTGAATCTGAAAATACATTATTGTAACATGTCAAATTTCTGATTAACTCATTGCTGTTAACTGAATGTATAAAATGTAAGCAAATACAGTGATTCTTTTACATTTTCATTGAAGCCTTTTATGGTAAAAAAAAAAAAACTGATAGAATTTTCGAAACAGATGTTAGAATGATTGTGTTTACTGTCATTTATGTTTAGTTCCTTGTCCATTTCATCAAAGAAATAATTTCTTTGCTTGGACAAATACTTCTGCCAACCATCAAATATATATAGCAGCTCACAAATTTAAAAAAAATGGGAGCATTCAACAATTCAATCTCACTATGAAAAACTCATACCTGCTATGTTCTCAGTGGCCAGCCTCTCAGGTATATCTGATTCTGATTCTGAAATAAATGAAAAAATTATGTCAGAAAAATAATATTTAAGCAAAAACATTCAAAACATTGGCACAAAATTCACATTGATGCAACATTCACAATATAGGCACAACTAGGGGTGTATGGGGTACCTCTGCAGGGGTAGTAATTGAGCAGCAGTCGCATCACATAGGGGTAGCTAATTAATCTTTGGTCCCTACACTGTACTCTGCTCTCACCTGTGATTCTAAGAAGCTGTAACATGCACAGCGCTCACACCCTAGACAACGGCTTCGACTAGCCGACAAAACCAGGTTGAGGGTAGCAAAAAGGCCTCAAACATCCGGTAAAAAGGGCCTGTCCCCCATAGCATGTAAAAGACTGGATCCAGCAAATTGTGCAGAGGAACCACTACTCTGTCAACAGACAAAAGAGGGAGAAAGCAAAGCGATGTGAATCGCTCAGAGCATTGCCAGACATATAGAACGCCATGGTCATTCACTGCACTCATTTTCATCTCCAGCCATCTCAACATTGTCTTGCTGCTGGATCAAGCTGGTATTGGGCGAGAGAGTGAGGTTGACGAATTGTGCGACTCTTCCTCATTTAACTCCAAATCACAGTGCGTGTCAATTAATTATCACTCATTTAATCTAAGTTCTCATCAAAAAGTCCAGTGGCGATGGGCAAGCAGCGAAGCGGCAGGTGTGGGTACACTGGCAGCCGTAGTCCCAAACTTGCACATAGGCGGCTCAGGCCGTAGGGTTGTTCATCACTGAAAAGGAGGTGCAATGGTGTCCAGCAGCCCCCTATGAAGACCTCTTAAGGAACACACTGCTCACCTCCATGACATGAGGAAGGGGCTAGAAAAGGTGCCCTAAACATTGTCTGCTCCAATCTTCCCTATCCAGCCAACCGCAGTTGGAGGGGACCCTATCTATGGGGTCGAAATTCAAAGAAACTAGAGCAAAAGGTAAACAAATTCCACAAAAACTTGGTGCATGAAATTTGCGCACTCTACAGGACAAAGATGATGTGGACAGACCTCAGAGCCCTTACAGAAAATGAACTAGCAATGTACGGGTTGGATATTGCAGCCCTTAGCGAGACCCAGCTTGGAGGAGAGGGCGAACTATGTAAAAGGGGCTCTGGATATACCGTCTTTTGGAGTGGCAGAAGAAGCGAGGAGCATCGTGAGGCTGATGATGGTTTTGCTATTAAATCAACAATGTTAAACATGCCTGCTGGTCTTCCAAAAGGAGTCAACGCTAGGATAATGACAATGAAACTCCCTCTCATAGGATAATGACAATGAAACTCCCTCTCGTATCTGGAAGAAAACTATCATCAGCTGCTATGCTCTAACAAAGAAAAACCCAATTGAAGTAAAGACCAAATTATATGAGGATCTTCACTCTGTCATAGCGGGCGTTCCAAGGCAGGAAAAGCTTATAATACTTCGTGACTTGAAGAACGTATGGAGTCCACACTATTGGAATATAGCAACTTCAAAGCAAACTTGGCATCACTTAGATCGATGTTGTACAACTATGGAGTTTTTGGGGGCAAGCGTGGAAAAACATCAGGTCTGGTTTGATCAAAACTGTGACGTAATCAAGCTATTGCTGGAGGGAAAACATCGTCTCCACCACGCTTCCCGAGGTCAGTCCCAATGAAAGATGCCTACCACAGCATAAGAATCAACAAGAACAGTGCAGCAAAAACTGCGTCTAATGCAGTATAAATGGTTGAGCTACAAGGCTGACGAGATCCAGGCTAGAGTTAGGGAAAATGGAGAGACGTCCAAACCATTTCCTATAACAAATGGCGTGAAACGGCTGTATACTGGCCCAAACACTTTTCAGCCTCATGTTTTCCGTTATGCCGACTGATCCCTTCAGAGAGGGAGACGCTGGAATTGGCTTCAGATACCGAACTGACGGTAAGCTATTCAACCTCAAGAGGCTACATGCCAAAGGGAAGGTCCTGAAAGACAGCATCAGGGACCTCCTGTGCCCTAAACGCTGTATCAGAAGTGGATATGCAATGCAGCATCACAAAATTTTCCAATGACTGCACAAACTTCGGTCTCATGATTAACACAAAAAAACTGAGCTCCATGAAGCCCGTATGTTGAGCCCAACATCCATATATATGGCGAAGACTTAAGGTGGTGAATAGCTTTTCTTACCTTGGCAGCACACTGTCACAAAGCGCAACCATTGATGACGAGGTTAACCTCCGTATTGTGAGAGCCAGTGCAACCTATGACAAACTGTCTAAGAACGTATGGACATGGAGAAGTATCAGCACTCAAACTAAATTGAAAATATAAAAGGCGGCTGTTCTCCCTTGGCTTCTCCATGACTATGAAACGTGGACGGTATACCAACGCCCTACAAGAATGCTAAACCACTTTCACACAACAAGACTCAGAAAAATCCTCAACATCATAAGGCAGGACAGGGTCCCAGACACTGAGGTGCTCACACAGGCAGGTCTCCCCAGCATCTTTACCATCTCAAAGTAGTCCCAGCTTCGCCCAAAATAATTTTCTATGGTGAGCTCGAACATGGAAGGCGGTCTGCTGGCGGGCAGAAGAAACGTTTTAAAGACAACCTAAAAGCCTCACTGAAAGCGTTCGACATAAACCCAGACACGTGGGAGGAAAACGCAAAGGATCGAACATCATGGCGTTCCATTTTACGCAGGAGCTCCATGCAACATGAAGTTGGCAGAACAGCGGCTGCAGAGCGCAAGAGACATGCCAGGAAGGCCCGGTCTGAATCTGCACAATCATTCCCCTGAACCTACACATTAAAAGTTTTGTCCAGTTTCTTTTTGAGTGCACTATACTATATAGTAAATCAAAATAATGGTGGGGCATGTTTTTGTACTTTGACTAGCGGGCATGTTTTTGTACTTTGACTGGAGGGACATGTTTTTGTACTTTGACTGGTGGGACATGTTTTTGTACACTGACTGGTGGGCATGTTTTTGTACTTTGACTGGTGGGAGATGTTTTTGTACTTTTGTACTTTGACTGGTGGGGCATGTTTTTGTACTTTTGTACTTTGACTGGTGGGGCATGTTTTTGTACTTTTGTACTTTGACTGGTGGGGCATGTTTTTGTACTTTTTACTTTGACTGGTGGAGCATGTTTTTGTACTTTGACTGGTGGGGCATGTTTTTGTCTAGCCTATTTTTCCAATCTATAAGCACAGACCATTTGTCTAGTCTATTAGTCTAATCTATTAGCACAAACTATTTGTCCAGTCTATTTGTCCAATCTATAAGCACAGACCATTTGTCTAGTCAATTTGTCTAATCTATAAGCACAAACTATTTGTCCAGTCTATTTGTCCAATCTATTAGCACTGACTATTTGTCTAGTCTATTTGTCCAATATTTTAGCCCAGGCTCTTTGTCTAGTCTATTTGTCCAATCTATTAGCCAAGCTATTTGTCTAGTTTATTTGTCCAATCTATTAGCCCTGGCTATTTGTCTATTTTATTTGTGTATTCTGTTAGCCCAGGCTTTATGTCTAGTCTATTTGTAAACTCTATTAGCCAAGTCTTGTCTATTTGTCCAAACTATTTATCCATAAACATAGACCAGACCAGACTTATTCCAAGCCATTATATCTTACAACAAGTTTGGGACATTATCCTCTGTTGACTCTACACATGATAAGATATTAATGATAAATGTACCTGTCTCATCCACACACCAGCTTTCTGACTGAACACTGGAGGCTTCTGACTTTGTTGACAAGACTAGGGATTGAAGGGAAATAACAGATTTTATTTGTACCACTAGGAATTGAAGGGAAATAACAGATTTTATTTGTACCACTAGGGATTGAATAGACATAACAGATTTTATTTTTACCACTAGGGATTGAATAGACATAACAGATTTTATGTGTTACACTTGAGATTTAATGGACAAAACAATCCAGAAAATTTGGGGGTAATATGCACCCTCCTTGCCCTACCTAATTTTCTGTTTCGGTTTAATCCTGAAGTGTCAAAGTGTCCTCTTTTTATAGCCATTTTCATTGTTTCTATAGAATAGTAGTTACTATCCTAGTGTCTCATTTGTATTTACTTAGTTTACATGTTTTAATAATTGTAAAGCGCTTAGAGCTTTATGATAAGCGCTATATAAAAATGCCTAAATAAATAAATAAATAAATAAATATTGCCCCCTTTTTATAGGTTACATTGTAAATATATTAAGCTGCATTTATTATCTTCAAACACAATTAATGTGTCATTTGTAACATAACAGGATTAAGTGCAGCACAATTAATGTGCCATTGGTAACTAGAGACCGACCGAAAGTGATTTTATGAAAGATGAAAATTACTTTAGGCTGAAACTGAAGCCAAAAGCCTAATTGAGACTTTCGGCTGAAACAGAAGTAGAAACCAAAAGTTTAACAACACTTACGGGCCGAAAAATTGCAATATTTCAAAACGCGTGTTCGCACACATACCGCACACGTACCGCACACCTACGGCACACGTACTGCCCACGTACTGCCCACATACTGCACACGTACTGCACACGCACTGCACACGTACTGCACACGTACTACACACGTACTCCACACATACTGCACACGGCAAAAAACAACTTAATAACTTCTGTGGGACTATTTTTTTTTGGCCTTGAATACTCTCATATCATTGACCCAAGGAAGTGACCCACCACCCCGATTTAAAATTATTTTTTTTTTGTAGTGTTACTTTGACCATCGGTAAGCTATAAACGTCTTAACTACTTTTTTTTAGCCAATCAAACTTATTGGATCTAAACATCCCTGTTTACCATACTAATTGGATGGGATTAACTTAAAAAAAGTCAATTTACCATATTCCCTTGAATGTTAGTTCTGTTAGCTTGTCATCACATACATACATCTACCCACCCACCCACACACACACCACCGGACGGATCAAATAAATGTTACCACATTTTTTATCTTCACCGTGAACGGCTGTCGATAACAATACATATGAGAGAATTAATATTCTGTAATCTTAATGTTATAGTCAAAGAGTGCATTACATTCTATAGAATGCTATATCATTCTATAGAATGGCTAGGCAAAGTGTATAATGACTTATGTATTTTACACTTTGGCTAGGCATTCTATAGAATGGCTGGATTACATACTTTGCCTGTAACATTTAAATATATCTAATCATTTTTTTTATAATTAATTCTAGAATACAGAAATCAATACTATACCAAAAATTTAATTTTAGCTTGCTTTCACCTAATATAACCAGTACTAGGCCTACAATATAAAACATAGTTATAGTAGGTAGTAAATAGCCTAATAAACTAATACTACTATATTAATATTATTATTTGGTGTTTTTTTTATAGCGCGGTACCCCAGCCTTGGGCTGGGCTCACCACACTGTACATACAATTTAACAAACATAATCATGAACTTAAAAAAATTAATTGACATACATTAATTACATTTTTTTTTAAATTGTATATTTACTCTACTTATTCCAGGAACTATTTACATGTCAAGCCATGGACGATACCCAGCAGCATCATTTATAGGTCAGAGGGGGGAATCATCCAGGACAGTAGAGTTGAAAGAGATGTGTTTTGAGTTCAGTTTTGAAGGCTGTGATGGTTGGTATATTGCAGATGTATAAAGGAAGAGAATTCCATTGTTTAGGGGCACAGAAAGAGAAAGATCGTTCACCGTATGTTTTTGTGCGAGTCTTGGGGACAGAAAGAATATGTGCATCTGCGGAGGAGCAAAGCTGTCGAAGGGATGAACAGACAGAAAGAAGTTCGGTAAGATAGGAAGGGCAGGAATTCGAGAAAAAGTTGTGGCAGAGAACAGAGAGTTTCTAATCAATCCGTGCTTGTATAAGGAGCCAATGAAGTGAATAAAGTAGTGGTGTGACTCTCTTAAAGGCATAATTTAAGTTAATATTTTTTAAAGTCTATTTAATAATAAGTTTAAATAAATTGATGGTTAATTTAATATTTAATACTTAGCCTACTTAATGTGTGACTTTAATTTTACTTTTAGTCTTTGAGTCTAGTGTTATTTAGCATTATATAGGCCCTAGGCTATAATCCTTTGTTATATAATTATAATCAAATGAATTTTAAAATTATTGATATAACAGTCAATGACTTGTATCTAAATATAAAATGTTCGTTAAAGACATATAGATAAATAAATAAGACTCAACAACATCATAGTAATTAAAATTTTATGAGTACATATTAGTACATAATTAAAAAGAATAATTTAAAAAATATAAAGGAAATTTTACCATTCCCTAAGATTTTTTTCAAAATGCTATTTACCTTTGACAATGACAAAATTTATGAACAAAATAATGATCAATTAAGATGTATTTTACAAAAAAAAATTAAAACAAAAATTAATAATATAAATATTACTATTCCCCTAGTTGCTATTTTTTGTCCCAAAAACTATTTATCTATCCCTTTGCCTTATTGAAATTTCATTTTTGGAATGATTGGACAAATAAGTCATCATGCAGCTGTGAACAGTGTTCGGAGAGGATTTGTTATATATTAGAGGATGACAGCAAAACATCAAGCAATAATGAATATCAGATTGCCGGCCGACAGACAGGGGGACAATCTGACATCTTGTACAAGACAGAAGGCCTCAATCACTTTCGGCCGAAACTGAAATTAAACCGAAAGTTAACTTTTCTGTTTCGTCCTAAACTACGCCCAAAGTGATCAAATGGCAAATTTCGGCGCCAAAACCGAAGCCAATATTCGGTCAGTCTCTGTTGGTGACATAGAAAGATTAACTACAACACTATAAATGCTTAAAAGATATGTGACCTTGAAATATACCAAAAGTACCAAGAGAACATCAGGTGAATAATACAGCTTGGCACCAGTGGCATTGCAGGAGTTGTCAGAATGTTTCATTGTACCAGTGTTATCCGCCTACCGGACTCTATCTCAGGGTTTGAATTCAGAGTTCCCTTCTCTTAGATAAGTTGCCATCCAAGGTTAACTAGTCCAAAGCACCTGGGGTGTTGGTGATATTTTTGCTTGACTGGGCTTTGGTGGGGATTGAACCACAAACTTGAGATTGACTCAGTTTAGAGCACTTGGCCATCCAGCACCCCAGTTTTAGAGTTGTAAAGTAATTAGTTTATTTTTCATAAATTCTTTTGCAAAGAAAGTGCAGGGCTTGTGAAAAGTGCTCCGTCTTCTTGGCACTTACCGTCTAAAAAGGCTCCATCTCAAGCAGGTTAAAGTTAAAGGTATTTTATTTAGTAGATAATTGGGAGTCAGTGAAATATAGAATTAAGTATGGTGGTAACACCATTTAATCTTATGTTTCATATGAGGAGACTTACCTTTAGCATAAGACCCCAGTGTCTTGACTTTACTTTGCTGGTCCAAGGACAGTAACTCAAGACGTGAAGCCAAGCTCGGATCGGGAGTGGAAGACACATCCCTGCAACCTTGTCGGTACGACAACGGCAGAAGCAGTCGCCGAATGAGCTGCTCATGCTGTTCATGAGCCAGAGCACGTTCCTTTTCATGTTTTTGCAGCAGCAATGCCCTTTCCTGTTCCTGTCTGATGAGTAACAGCTGATGCTCCTGTTCGTGTTGCCGGAGAAGTTCTTCCAATTCTCTGGCCTGCTTGGCAGAGAGAGCTTTGTTTCGCTGTGCCGCCATTTCTTCTACTTGGGTAAATCCAGAAGCAGGGATTTCTTGATGGCTGCTGTAGTCACTGCTAACATCAGAAAAAGTTTCTGGGGACCATACCATCTGACTCGAGTTAGATGAATGGGCTGGTGTAATTTGAAAGGGCGGCTGAAAGATGGGGGAAAACGTGGTTGGGGAGTTCAGATCTGAAGGTGGGTGGTGTGTTGAACTTTGAACCCATGGCTGATGGGCAGGTTTGGTTAAACTACTTGCATATTTGCTGACACCCCTACCAAATGATAGACCAGCTGTGACAGTGGGAGCTGTGGAATAGTATGTACCATTGTCACCAGTTAATCAATAGCCCCTTTAGGTTTGATCAGATATATTTTAAATCAAACCTATTTGTTTAGATTGGTGTTTCCTTACTTGTTCTATATTCTGCACTCCTAAAAGTAGTTTGATTAAGAACTGAACCCACTACAAAATTACTTTTGTACAATGCATTCAACAATTTTAAAGAGTAGTCAACCTGTAAGAAAAAGACGGAATGGATTGAATATATTCTCTGATAAAAATAAGTGCATATGTTCATCTTACAAGATACAGACATATCTTACTTAACCCAAAGCTATATCAAATATGTGAAACTGAAGAACACTTTAATTGGATTGCATCCTAAAACTGGTTAGGAGGGAAATTTTATGAAGAGTGAGAGTCCTTCTTGTCTAGCACAAAAATCTCTAGTCCCCTGATGTAACAAAGTATCATCATTTTTCCCGGCAACCCCTAGGTTGGTAAACCATGGTTTAAATGACAACCCCTAGGTTGGTAACCATGGTTTAAATGACAACCCCTAGGTTGGTAAACCATGGTTTAAATGACAACCCCTAGGTTGGTAAACCATGGTTTAAATGACAACCCCTAGGTTGGTAAACCATGGTTTAAATGACAACCCCTAGGTTGGTAAACCATGGTTTAAATGACAACCCCTAGGTTGGTAAACCATGGTTTAAATGACAACCCCTAGGTTGGTAAACCATGGTTTAAATGACAACCCCTAGGTTGGTAAACCATGGTTTAAATGACAACCCCTAGGTTGGTAAACCATGGTTTAAATGAAGTGTTAAAAAATTAGTCAAAGATGCTGTAAAAGGAATGCAATTGATTACATTATAATTTAAAAAAAAAAAACTATGATCAGTTGAGCAACAGAGAGAATACAAGTCTTTGAACTGTGACAGAGATGGATGGGATGCAAACAATCGAAGTCAATAAAACAATAAAGGTTCAGCTTCAATATGATTTATACGGAATGCTAAGAAGTACAACAAAAAACATTCGTATGAGAATAGTTTAAATGTACATCATATGTACATATATATATATGTGCCCTATATAAAAATGACAGAAAAGAATAAGAATTGGCACAAGTCCCAAACGAAACAAAGCTCAGAAGAACGGAAAGAAAGTGGGTGGAAGTCAAATTTAAAAACCAAACAGGAAAAAGATATTGCGGCTATGTAAAATTGTGATTTTGGCTTTTACCGTATAGTCAACGTACCAAATCTTTTTATTAATTTATTTTCCATATAAATTCTATCAGGTGTATTTCTAATATACAGTATACCAGTAACTGCAACGTCTAATTTCCCATTATGATTAGGACTATTAAATGTTTAGAAACTGGACTAAGGGTTTATTGATGTTGTAGAGGTGTTTTCTAAAACAGTCCTCAAGGTGACAACCTGTGTCTTCTATGTATGATTTACCACAATGGATGGTGTAAATCAGGTTGCGACTTGTGCAAGTAAAACTATCTTTGATTCTGAATATTTCCAGAGGAAAAGTGACTATTAACTTCAACCACATAAGGACATATGTTACAGCGGCTATGGTTGCAATTTTTGGTGCCTATATGTGCTTTAATAGCACAGAGGTTGCTTCTAAAAGGCTCTTGTCCCTCTGAAAATGAAAAGAAGAGTTTTTTTGAAAATGTCATTGGTGACAGGGTCTGCCATAAGAGTGGATCTTTTTTTTTTTTGAGAACTAGAAAATGAGTGGAGACGATTGAAATGAATTTATACCTATCTCCATTGTCAGAAAGTGTTGCTTTAAATCAGGGGTCTCAAACTCATGGCTGGTGGGCCATTTGAGGCCCACAAAATGATATTTTGCGACAGTTTAGTGTTAATGTGACCTGCGCATTTTCCTATCTCATATCAATAATTTGACCCTCCGCGACGGTTTTAGTCGAATCTCACCAACTAGTCTAATTCTGATCTTTATTATTATGTTTGTATAGGTTTGGACGTTGATTATAATGGATTCGTTTTAAAATCAGACTTAAAATTTTTTATTTTATAGAATTTTATGAGACAAACATATTTGGAACAAACTAACATAAGTATGTGCAGTGATTTGTTATTGTTTTAGCCAAAATTAATGTAGATTTATTTGATGTCTCTAAAATTGTAGAAAAATGTTTGTTAATTTAATATCAGCCAAAAAGGTCCTCGTTACCAACCGCCTTTTTTCAGCTACCGCAAAACTAACTTTGGTGACATACGACTTTGGTGACATACGACTTTGGTGACATACGACTGAAGCCATTGTGGAGGGTCACATATAAAATTATTATTTTAAATTATCTAACAATATATGAATTACTAATTATGTCATAATTTGGGAATTCTCTCTCTGACTACTGCAGCCTCATTTGCTATGTGGGAATCTAAATCTCCCTAAGAGCAAAGTCTCGTGATACGGGATTCGGGAGTGTTACCGAGTAGTGGGAAAATATATTTTATCACACAGTGCAAATAAATTTGTGTGTCACCCGACCCCAGTCATGTCTTCCTCAAAACCTGCTGTGAAGAGGAATGTTGGCAATGAGCACAGACAATTTATTTATTTATTTATTTAGGCATTTTTATATAGCGCTTACCTTAAAGCTTTCAGCGCTTTACAATTATTAAAAACATGTAAACTAAGTAAAATAAAAATGAGACACTAGGATAGTGACTACTATACTATAGAAACAATTAAAATGGCTATAAAACAAGGACAATTTCAGGAGAAGTGGGAGATGGACAACTGTTTTGATGAGCACAGGGGCACTCTGTCGTGCCTTTATATGCACCTAGTAATTTGTGGTCACAAGGAGTAGAACATCAGATGTCATTATTTAACCAGACCACAGCCTTTCAGCCAACACATTGGCAGGGTGCATTTCTGAGCTGTCAGGTGACATTTATGATCAACTGTGTGACAAAGGTAAACATTTCCATGCATACTCTGTCACTCTTGATGAGAGCACAGACCTCACTAACATTGCACAGCTGGCAATATATGTCCGTGATGTTGATGATAATTTTGAAATGATGGAGAAGTTGCATAAAGTGATTCCAACCCATTTCCAGACCACTACTTAGGAGATATTTCGCCAGCTGTGTGATGCCCTTGTTTACCATGGAACAGTTTTGCAGGAATAACAACCGACGGAGCATTATTAATGACAGGGAAAATAAATGGACTCGTGACACATGTTCAAAGAAAACTGGGAGAGGAGGGTGTGGAAGAGGCCGTTACTCTACACTGTATTATCCATCAGCATGCCCTTTGCAGCAACTGCCTGAAGTTTGACAATGTGATGTCTGAGGTTGTGAAATTCATCAACCATATCAGATACAGGGGCTTCAAGCACTGGCAGTTACGCGCTTTTTTTAGAGGAAATAGAGTCAGCATATGAGGATGTTATCTACTTCACTGAGGTACATGGGCTTAGTAGGGGAAACACCTTGAAAAGGTTTTTTGAGTTGAGAGCAGAAATCAAAGCCTTCATGGAGAAGGATGGTGTGGTTGTTCCTTTACTAAGTGATCTCAAATGGCTCATGGACTTGGCTTTTCTAGTTGACATCACTCATGACCTGAATGTACTCAACAAGAAGTTAGAAGACCAGTGGCAGCTTGTCAGTGTTGCCTATGACAATGTCAGGGCATTGTGCACAAAACTTGTGTTATGGAAAGCCAAGCTTTTGCAGAGAAACCTTTCATTTCCCAAAACGGACGTGGGCACACCATTCAGTTGTAAGTATGCTGACGCCATTACTAAGCTACAGGAAGAATTTGATCATAGGCTGGCAGACTTCAAAACACACAGAGCCACTTTTCAAATTTTTCCTGACCCTTTCTCCTCTCCTTCAAGATGACAGGAGATTTTCATCCATCAATTAGATTTACTTCAACAATCCATAAGAGTCCTGTCAATTTTTGGACATCAAAATTAATCCAAACAAGAACACAATATCTTTGGCCATTTATTACTGTTGTTGTTTGTCTTTCTTCTCTGCTTCATTTTTCATCTAGTTCAGTTCTTCTCTTGTTTATTTCTTCACTTTATTTCTACTATACATCAGTTCTTCTCTACTTCATTTCTTCTCTACTTCAGTTTTTCTCTAATGTAGTTCTTTTCTACTTCAGTTCTTCTCTACTTCATTTCTTCTCTACTGCAGTTCTTCTCTACTTCAGTTCTTCTCTACTTCAGTTTTTCTCTACTGTAGTTCTTTTTGACTTCAGTTCTTCTCTACTGTAGTTTTTCTCTACTGTAGTTCTTTTCTACTTCAGTTCTTCTCTAGGTCTAATTAATTTTAACTTTTCATCCCCACAACCTTATGGCCATTTTCTAGTTCTCAAAAAACAAAAAAAAGGGTCCATTTTATGAAGACCATGTCAAAACCATAGCCGCTGTAACACATGTCCTTATGTGACTGAAGTTGATAGAATCACTTTCCCTCTGTAAATATTCAGAATCAAAGATGGTTTTACCTGCACAAGTTGCAATGTGATTTATTCATGGTAAAAATTGTGGGAAATCTTACATAGAAGAGACAGGTTGTCACCTTGGAGACTGTTTTAGAGAACACCTCTAAAACATCAATAAACAAGCAATTTGCCCAGTTTCCAAACATTTCAATAGTGCTAACCATAATGGAATATTAGACATTGCAATTACTGGTATACTGTATGCAAGAAATATACCTGATAGAATTTATATGGAAAATAAATTAATAAAAAGATTTGGTACGTTGACTCCATAAAGTATAAGCCAAAATCACAATTTTACATAAATGTCTTTTTCCTGTTTGGTTTTTAAATTTGACTTCCACCCACTTTCTTTCCATTCTTCTGAGCTTTGTTTTCGTTTGGGACTTGTGCCAATTCTTATTCTTTTCTGTCATTTTCAGGTAGGGTATATAAAGAGCTGATTTTCAAAATGCTGTATTTCCATTTTGGGGGTTTTGAGATTATTCATCTTTTTACAAAAAAAATTACATATTGGGTTTAGAGAAGTAAATCATTTTTAGACAAGAATAACAGGAAAATAATTTGTTTTATAAATAAATTTTACCATGTCCTAAAGGAACCTTTTATATTAGCTTTTACAAAAAATGTAAGCTTTTTTCTTTTTTTTTTTAAATGGTGGATACCGCATTTTGAAAATAAGCTCTTCATATATATTTATTTATATATATATATATGATGTAAATTTAATTTATATGAATGGTTTTTGTTGAACTGATGAAGACATTTGCCAAGAAGTTTAGATTTGTATTCTGTGTAATCATAATAAAAGCTCAACTTTTATTGTTCTATTTACGATACACAAATTACTTGTGTCTCATTATATACTTGAAAGCTTGATCGCAGTCCAACACTCTTAAAAACAACATAGAGAAATAAAACAAGACAATTGTTAGATTAAAATGATTGATGTTGTCATGGCAACATACCATTGACAGCAATGAGACCTCTGCTCCGCCCCTTAGAAAAGCCGATGCCATCATCTTGAACATATGCACTGGTCCCTCTCATGGCAGTCTTGCTTGGCTCAGATGTAGCTTGGACATTGTTCAGCATAACTGAGTTCTCCTGAATGCTGTTGCTATTTCTCAACTGTGCAGATTCTGACAGCTGGGCAGCCTTCGATTGGGTCATTGGCACCTTGCGCTGGATTTGCTCTGACGACTCTTCACAGGGTTGAGACAGTTTTTTGGGTGACAGTTGCCCTACATAGTTGGCCCCAGGTGGAATGTATGGTGTCATCTCATCTTCATCTGGGTAACTGTCCAAACAGAAATATTGCTCATATTTTTGTAGCAGTAATCATCCTTTATTATTATCAAGGGTTTAGTACACAGCTTGGATAAGTGTACCAAAACATTGGATTAGCCCAATTGGATAAGTGTACCAAATCCCAATTGGATAAGTGTACCAAAACATTGGATTAGCATATTTCTATAATTTTACTCTAAACTGGATTAGCAGTTGGATAAATGTATCAAACATTGGATTAGCATAGTTGGATAAATGAACCAAACATTGGATTAGCATATTTGGAGAATTATACCCAAAAGTGGATTAGCAGATGGATAAATGAACCAAACATTGGATTAGCATATTTGGAGAATTATACCCAAAAGTGGATTAGCAGTTGGATAAATGAACCAAACATTGGATTAGCAGTTGGATAAGTAAAACAAACATAGGATAAGGATAGTTGGATAAATGTACCAAACATTGGATTAGCATAGTTGGATAATTGTATCAAATATTTGAATAGCATATTTTGATAAATTAACCAAACATTTGATTAGCATAGTTGGAGAATTGTACCCAAAATTGGATTAGCAGTTGGATAAATGAAACAAACATTGGATTAGCATAGTTAGATAAATGTACCAGACATTGGATTACCATAGTTGGATAATTGTACCAAACATTGGATAACCCAGTTGGATAATTGTATAAATTATTTGATTTGCCCAGTTGGATAATTGTACCAAACAAATGATTAGCATATTTTGGACAAAAGGAACCAAACATTGAATTATTTCAAACAGATTCACCTTTTGAACACGAGGGCATCAAGGGCTGTGTTTGTCAACAACCAGTGGGAACAGGATCATAATGAATGCCAACAAAAGCTTTCAATATCATTGAGAATGTGTTTGGTTATCTTGGGTCAAGCCGTGGGTCATACAAATAAAATGCTTAACTCCCCATCAAAAGATTTTTCTTTTAAATGATGGAAAAGCCAGATATGAGAACCACACAAAAAATGTTTTAATGTCTGTGGCAGGATCATTTCAAAAGGTTAAATAAAAAATAATTTCCTGTGAATTTTTATTAAATTTCTTTAAATAAAATAAAAGACTGTGCTCAAACTTACTAATCATCTGGCTTGTTGAACAAAGCTGGTGTTCTGTACATCTGTGGTGCTATAGGGGATGTGCAAGGAGTTTGGACTTGTTAAAACGTAAAATTATTTAGAAGAAAAGAATACTTCAAGAATGTCCCCATTATAAGAATTATATCTTCAAACTACATCCATTTTTTAGGCAAACCTTGAGTGAAAGGAATACAAACTATACCCTGTCAATAAGTGTACACATATCCCAGTCAGAGTAATCTAGCTGTTACAGTCAATATCCCAGTCAGAGTAATCTAGCTGTTACAGTCAATATCCCAGTCAGAGTAATCTAGCTGTTACAGTCAATATCCCAGTCAGAGTAATCTAGCTGTGACAGTCAATATCCCAGTCAGAGGAATCTAGCTGTTACAGTCAATATCCCAGTCAGAGGAATCTAACTGTTGCAGTCAACAATGTTAAATAATATAAATTTACACCCTCTCTAATGACAGCAACTTACCCGAGTCCCAGTCCTCATCAATCTCAGCAGAGTGACTACCCTTTATCGCAGGTCCCTTGATGTCGCCTGTAAGAGCGTTTCCTATACTGGCCCGACCTGAATGAGTCATTAATTAAATAAAGAACAGAATAAAAAATTGATCAGATAAAAATTAGTGATAGGGCAAATTTTTTTAGTTTGAATAAGGGGCCTTCACCAAACAATGTCATGCGGGGGGGTGGGGGTTGGGGTTGGGGTGGGGGGGGTGGGGTGTCACATATTAGTGATAATGTGTGATGAAGTTGTCTAAGTTTCTTTGACAAATTTGTGACAGTGAGAAAATTGGGGGGAGTGTTGTGTTAGTAAAAAAAAATATCAAATATGGATGGCCTTAAACTAAATTTTCCCCAACTTTCATAAATTTTGACAGTTGTAACCGACAGGTATTTTAAGGATCTGACAAATTTGTAAAGAATAAGAATTCTTGCATTGTAAAATGATTTCTCAAATCACAGATCTACAAGACACAGGGAAGTTGACTGAAAATGACTTCTGAGAGGCTGACTGCAAGAAATAATCAGACAGACAGACACTATTCATGCCAACTTCAATAAATGATTTCACAAAGGGTTTGCATGTAAGAACTCAGCAATCTATTATAATGGATACCACACTGAGCCCAATTGGTACCAGACTTAGCCACATGTGTACCACACTGAGCCACTTCAAGGTAATTATTTAAAAAAAATTCATATTTCTTTATATGCCATTTTGTCTCTAAATTTCATTTTCAACTTAGTGATCACAGGACATTGAGGGATCAGAATTTAATTTTGTCTACCTTTGTCTACTGCAATGAAGAAATGGTGAGATGTGTTCATCTGTAATTTCCATTAATTACACTGCATGCTTTTAGCTAACGCTTACTTACAATGTGCATATGTCTCTAGCTACCCTTTACTTTACAATGCATGCAGTTAGCTAACCCTTACTAACAAAGTGTATCCTTTACTTTACACAGCATACTTTTAGTCTAATGCATGCTTACAATTTATATATGTATAATAACCCTTACTTACACTGCATGTCTCTATCTAGCACACTTCTGCTGGGGCAATCTTTCATGTGGTGCTTTAGTTCAGGCTTAGGAACAACATGAGTTTTATCAAATTTGCATACCACCATTTTCACTTTTCCTTGATGGGCCTGAGAAAGAGGAAATAAACCAGAAAATTTAGTTCCAGGTTAAAAAATATTTTTTTACAGTTGTGTATTTAAACACCCTACATAATAAACAATGCGCAAGAACACACAAATAAACAAAACACATAAAAACATGTACAAAAAAAGTAATGCCACTGATTTAGCTAACATTACAATTAATTCTTGAAATCTCACTCAGAACTGTTTCAGAATTATATAAACTGCATGTTGTGATTCCATTGTCTGTCAATATGAACTTAAAACTTATCAATCATTAGATTTAAAACACATTAAAAATTATATTAAAGTCATATCAATCATTTTGAGTGTAGTAATATATTATTTATTTTTTAAATCAAGTATTGCGTTCACTTCAGGGATACTACAGAATGTTTTAGGGTGCCAGAAGGTAGCAAGGAGAAAGAAATAAGTAGTTGGGACACTCTTAACAGGATGATTTTCATTTAAAAAATAATTTCCTGTGAATGGTTATTTTACTGGAACACTTTAAACAATAAATTTACTGGGTCACTTTCAGAATGATGTTAAAATATGCAATAGAAAAGAAGATTTTGCACTAATGAGACCTGCAACATTTATAGACAGGTCAGCAGATCTGGTCAATAATTATGTTGAATGTTGCAAGTTCACTTTGCTAATACAACAGTTTACTCCACCATCAAGGCTTAGAATTGCATAAATCGTTAATGAGTGAATAACTCTTGAACTGCGACTTACTAAGAATGGCGTCCACTGACAGGACCCCAAACTTTGTACACCATTAAAAAGGGACCCGGGCCAGAGGGCTTTCCGTAAACTAATTTTGCAGCCATGTGATAATCTAGCATACAGCACCCTATGCAACCTGGTGAATGAATGTGCAAATAGGGCGGGTAAAGACCCACCCAGCAGGGCACACATAGCTTATTCTAAGGAAAAGCTCCTGCCATTGCAGCAGCCACTCCCAACAGTTTCTCCTAAGGATGTTGCAGCCAAGCAACCCATCTTCGAACTGGGAACTTCCCACTCGTATGAACCCATCACTTTCCTTTTCCTTAACATGTTTTTTTGTTTCTAGCTTTTGTAATGATTTGCCTCTTATTACTTTAACAGGCATTTTCTAGTATGAAAAACTGTGCACTTGTTCACGGTATAGATCCCCTTTCTCCATCCTGGTAGTGTCTGGTCTGGGGCAAAGACCAGCAAGGCCACCCACAGGCACCCGCATCATGGTAGTCTAGGGCTGGTTGCTGTTTCACCGCCCTGATTTGCTCTTCACCCTTACTCCTCAAACAAGACAATTTTGAAGGACATTTTAACTTTGCACAGAAATTAGAATTTAAAATAAGAATGAATTTCACAGAATCTAAGGATTTTTTATAAATTAAATAAAGCTTTATATCATGACATTTCTTATATGACTACCCATTGTCATGAAAGTAAGGTTAAAGTCTGATTTAATTCTTGGAAAGCTTAATTTAACAGTTACCTCTCTGCATTTAATGATATGGGCTTGAAAAGACTTTTTTTGGATGGAGTGCGTCTCATCGTAGGGACAGATTATAGTCTCATCTCCACGATTATATGACAGCATGGCTGAAATTAGGAATTTAAACAATAAAGATAAATTTTCATTGCAAGTTACTAAAATAAATTATCTTTAAATACTAGCTAATATACCTGGTGTTTCTCTGGTTTGCATTCAGAAAAAAAAATTTCTACACCTTTTAATTAAAATTAAAAGTAAGTGCCATTTAAAAACAAACAACACCCCTATTAAAAAAAATAATCTGTCTCTATAAAAACAAATTTATAATAACTTTTGTAAACCTTTGGGATCCCGATCCCGGAGGGATTCCAATTGGAATCCGTTTCCCGATGGGATCCTGTTTCTGATGGTATACCGGTATCCAGAGGGATCCCTACCCTGTTTGGATCCAGATCCCATTTGGATCCAGATCCTGGTTGGATCCCGATTATGGTGGATTCCTAAACCAGTCGATATTCCGATCACGGTATGTTACCGATCTCGTCTGTATCCCAATCCTGGTCGGATTTCAATCCCGGTGGGATCCCGATACCGGTGGGTCCCATTTCCAGGTGGGATCCCGATCCCTTTAGAGATCCTGTTCTCTGTGGATCCAGTTTCCCTGTGGGATCCTATACTCTGATGAGATTCATTTTGCCGATAGGATCCCTATTTGATTGCATTACTCAATGGGCTCGTGTTACCGGTGGGTTCCAGTATTAAACTAACATAAGCTTTTAGATTCCATTGTATATCTCAGAAGAAAATTATAGAAATTTTTTAACATTCTAGATTAAAATTATTATTCTCCTCGAGACGTGTACAAAGTTACTTTTCTAAGTAATTATTTTTTCAGGGCCTGCCTAAATGTGGAAATTATATTATGCAGGAAACTGGAGCTGATCATAAATAGGTGGAATAGAACATGACTGGGGGTGTGGAAATGTATGCAATCAGATGGAATCAAGAAACATTTGCTTTGAGTACATAATTTGCTTCAATAGCAAAGGGAAGACACCTTGAGATGGTATACAGGTATAAAGTAAAGACAGAGGCAAGAATGTGACAATGGGTGGTGGTAGTATACTTTGTGCCTTGTGGTTAGGAGTTAAACTTAAACCATACTAATGACTAATGTCTACTCTACTATGTCTATAGCCTATAGCCAGGCCATAGTTTACATTACAGTTAACTGAAAATTAACAGTAACAGTTTGAGTTTGTATTATTAAATTATTAATTAATTTAAATAATTATCTGGGTTTTGAGTTTGATTGGCCCCCTAATTCTAATGAGTGATGAGCCTGCTAATGAAATGAGGATGACTGAATTAACTAATACTAATAGTTACTAATAATACAATACTAATTGTTTTTTGTTAAGAAGGTTTTTGAAACCGATTTTATTACTCAAATACTCATACTGATACTGGTTCACAAATTGCGTCTTTCACTTTCGCTCACAGTTCTGAGTATTAAATGACGAAGTGAACTGAAACTGCAATTTAAACAAAACCATATTAATCACAATGTTTAAGTTTAAGCCTACTTTTTCGATTCTATGACTTAGTAGTGGTAGTAGTAGTAGAAGTAGTAACTTGTAAGTAGCATATGCCTTAACTTAGCAGCTGTTTTAGGCTAATCACTCCTATACGACTATGACTATGACTTATTTATACTATATTTATGAGATCAAACAAGATTTAGTATAAGAATAGAAATTGAATTTAACTGAATGATTAAATGTTGGGTAAACTTTTGAGTATTTTATTAGTGAAGTGGCACTCATAAATGTTAACATAATGTGTGTTGTTGTTTTTTTCCCCCCAACACTGAATAATATTAAACCGTAATTTTCAAATTCATATTCATGTTTTTAGCAACTTGACACCATTTACAGCGCTGTAAATCTGAAGAACCTAAGCCTAAGAACCTCAGCCTATATCTACGTCAGGCCAGAGGCTTGCGTTGAAAAGGGATTTGTCGTCGTGATTTTTTAGACTGTTAATGATAATGTTAATAATAAGTCTACACATCCGTTTATTTTTAGAAACTTCATCAAAATAAAATGCAGTTTTTGTCAATTAGGCCTACATGAGAATAAAATTATAACTTTTTTTTTAAAGTAAGAAGATACCGTTATATGATTAATTAACCGTGATTTAAAAAAAAAAATGATTAACTTATTTATATTTTGACCTTGTGTGGTTATGAACTATGCCGTGTTGACGTTTGACTAGTTTTATTGGATAGATGATTGTGTTGTACGAGAATATCTAGGCTACCATAATTTATACTCTTTTTCATGTACTTTGACAAAACAATAGTGTGCCAGTGACGAAGGGACGGTCCTTCCCGGGTAGCACTTTTTTATATGGAAGGGCGGAATTTTCAGCCAACTACATAGTTTTTTTTCGCGATAAAATTCTCGTCCCGCCCCAGCGCCATTAACCCTTGCTACTCGACTGAATATAGCCTACAAAATTTCAGGATCCATTCGACGACAACGTTATAAACGAAATTGTGTTATTGAAAGTTACTGAAGGGTTCCACTGTATGTGCTGGTACTCAAATTTAGCAGTTTCTGGGTGGGGGGGGGGGCGGTAGTTATATGAAACTTGCCATTAAATAGTAGCAATGCAGTACACAAAAATTATAATTCAAGATAGAAAAGTGTGAGCTCCATCAATATCGTTCGCTAAAAGATTAATAGATTTTAATTAGCTGATGCATGTTGTCCAACAGTAAATCCAAAAGTCATATAATTACCTTAAATCTAAGTCTAAAGGGGGAAAGATGTGATGTAGAATAAAGTTTAAACTATTAACTTTGAATATGCAGGAGGGGCACAACATATAAAAAAAAATATTTTAAAAAATACAAAAGGCCTCCAAAAATTATGCGATGGCATCCAGATGGCTCCGCTGCACATGCATATGTAACAGCTGGTCACATTATATTGTCAATTCTTAGGAGATGATTCCGCCTCCAGTGCCCCACGTCCCACCATCGATTGGGATGAGTTTTCATAAAGGGTCATCTATAAATGTTATCGCGATATTTTGGCCGAGTTTAGACCCTCATTCATCCCCAACATTATAATTTTTGTACAGTCTTCAAATTGTAAACTTTTGTCACTCATCGTTTTAGTGCTGTAAATTCTGATTCTGATAGAGTACGTTGCTGCATCCATGTATTGGCATAAGTGCAACGGTTTAAATATTTCTAGAGATGATTTGACATGGGCTTAAATTTATTTTCAAAAAAATGTATTTAGGCCTACTTCACGAATGGCTGACTACTAATTATATACAGCCGACGTAAACGGAGCTTCTTCGTTTTGATTTTGTTACATTACAGCTGACGTGAGAGTAGTAGTAGTAGTAACATTTTTCACTGCTAATATCCACATCACAATTATTGTGTACAGTACATAATAAAATCAATGAAATTGCCCAACCCAAAGAACCAAAATTATAGTTGGACTTTATAAGTATTACTACCCTTAACTTATATTTTCATTATGATTTTTTAAAAGGTAAATGAGATTAATTTATACATTTATTTGGAATGCCAGTGTGTCAATATTTTCTATCCGGGCGATGTCGTTACGGGGAAAATTGTCGTTTTGAACATCCAAGAGGTTAGTACGGTTAGTAAGTCTAGTTAGTCAAGTAAGTTGTTATTATTAATAATTTATTATTATTATTATTAGTTGTATTAAATTTAAATGATTAAATGTATTTTTATTAAGTTAATAATTAACCCTTTGGGACGGAGACTTCTTGGGGTGTCAGTGCCAAGAACACCGAGCACTTTTTACAAGCTCAGCACGGTAGCTCAGCACTCATCATTCATATATTGATTGTATTGCCAAAAAAATTCTATCAATAAACTAATATTAAAATTAAAACTTTTCAATAATTCACTTTTCAATAACTTTTCATGTATAAAACTAAATATATTCTTATGGAAATTGAATTAACCAATAAAATCTTTATGAATCAAACAGAAAACTTAACATTTATGCAATTTTAAATGTTTATCCTGATTTGCATGTAATTTGTTGTTACGGGTACACTTACTTAGACTTAGAATAAAGATAACTTACTTTTAATTTGAATAATTTTATTTGCGGGTATGTTAAGAAAAACGAAGTGGCTATTCGGACCCCGGGTCCGAGAAATGAGAGGTTGGGATTAAAATTTAAAATAAAATATTATTGTAGATTGTCAGACTAAATTTGGTATCAAATGAAGGATAATTGAATGGACTATATGTTTGTAAACTTATTTCTTCAGTTGAACTAAAATAACTCAAATAAAATCATCCATTAGAAAGACTAATCCATTTAAAAGGTATTGGGGATGTTCTGCCTGTCATTTGCTACTTAGACTGCTTTTCAAACTACTTGGTCTTGTTGATGAATCCCAAAATTTCTTCATCATAAACTTTCTCTTTGCCATCTTACGGCCATACATGAATTATTGTAGATGGAATTCTACAAAGATCTTCAAAGGAAAATTAAAATTTTCTCTTGTACCTGAAAGAAGCTTAGAATTATCGCCACTCCTCAGAACGGCGGTCCCAAATTAAAATATAATGTTTCTCGAAAAATAAATTTTTAAATTCATTTTTACCTCATGGAACTTCATTAAAATTATTGTTAAAAGTAAAATAACATCTTTTTGTTGGAACACAACAATAATTTAACAAATTTTACGAAATCAAAAACATTACATTTTAATGAATCTTTTATCTTTTACGGTGACATTGTGGAACATTGAGGAGAACTCTTCTTTCCTTAAAGATACGTTATAAAAGTTGCCCAATTGGATGTATCTGGATTAAAATAAACTGTTGTATTTATTTTGTTTATGTCTAGTAGTCTGATATTTCTTTCTAAATAAGTGGCAGTTTACAATTTTGAATATTTAGGTCTCACATATTTTAGGTATCTTGTATCGGTTTATTATTGTGAAATGAAGGTCTTGTTTCACTAAAAAAATTGGATATTCACATATAGGCCTATGGTTCTTAAGTTAATTCACAAATTTCTCTACAGTATAAATTAAATAAGACGTTTATTTAATTTCTGTACATTATAATTATTGTAGAAATCGCCCTGAGGGCAAATAGCAGAATGTTGCATTTACTACATATTGGTGCACTATTTTCTTTGTACATAAATAGTTGTAACAGGAACAAGGTAACTTTTTTGAAAAAAGACAATGATTATGACAAATCTCCAGTGGTTTTTTTTTCCTTCTTTTTTATAATGCAGCGGTTCTCAACCCTAACTCAGAGGTCGTCAACAACCATCAGAAAAGCTTTTTTTGAAATAGTAATAATAATAATAATAAAGTTCATTTAAAAAACACGCTTCATCCCCAAAGGCTCAAAGCGCGGTACAAAGTCAACAAAAAAACATATCTATAATTTACCACATTTAAAACAAACGCAACACTACAAAAACTAATTACAAGCATACAATGGCAAAGTCTTTCTAGCCATTTCAACCCGGAGCAACACAGCCATTATGCATTAACTGGAAAATAAGGTAGACAATCATCCCAGAAGGTATTTGCGAAATAGATGTGTCTTTAGATCGGTTTTAAAGGACTCCAGTGTCTGGTTGTTTCTGAGATCGACTGGAAGGGCGTTCCAAATTGTTGGACCAGCAAACGCGAAAGTGCGCTTTCCGCAAGTCTCAAGGCGAACACGTGGTGTAAAGAGTTTGCCACTGTCGGATGAGCGGAGTTGTCTGGTTGGTACATAAGGCGTCAGCAGCTCTTTCAGATAGGATGGCGCCAGGTCATGTAGACAGCGGTAGCACAAAGTTGCGATTTTGTACTCTATGCGAGCACGCACCGGCAGCCAATGCAACTCTCTCAGAAGTGTTTTTGCATGGTCAAATTTGCGTTTGCGGAGAACTATGTGAGCCGCATTATTCTGTGCTATTTGAATTTTATCAAGGAGCATAGCTGGAAGACCCACCATGAGAGCATTGCAATAGTCCATGCGTGATAGCACAAATGCAAACATCAGCCTCTTTGTTGTATCAATTGTTAGGAAGGGCCTGATGTGACTAATCCTGCGCAGCTCCAGAAAAATCGCCTTGCAAAGCATGTTAATATGACTTTCAAAAGTTAGACTTCTATCTAGGTAGACACCCAGGTACCGCACTGTTTGAGCTAACTCAATACGCACACCTGATTGAGTAATGGATGTCGTGTTATTTGCAGATTTCTGCTTCTGAGCGGTCGCAATGGGGAGCAGCTCAGTCTTATCATCATTTAATTTGAGCTTGTTAATGGTCATCCAGTGCTTAACCGACTCCATTGTCTTCTGTGTCATACTGAGCAGCTGAGGGAACTGAGAAGTGATCACGGATTGATGAAGTTGTGTATCGTCCGCGAACATGTGATACAACATGTCAAACTGCCTGATCTCTGCACCCAGGGGCTGAATGTACATCGTGAAAAGCATCAGGCCTAGGACTGAGCCCTGGGGTACTCCGAATTTGAGATTAGATTTCTTCGAGGTCAAGCCGTTTGAAATAACTGACTGGACCCGATTATTCAGATACGATCGGAAACAACACAGGACGGTATCAGTGAGACCGAACGTTTTTTGCAGACGCTGGAGCAGTATGCCGTGGTTGAGCGTATCGAAAGCTGCCGATAAATCGAGTAAAGACAAAATCGATACCCGGCCCTCATCACAAGACGACAGAAGGTCATTTATGACGCGCAACAGGGCTGTCTCAGTAGAGTGATGCGCCCTGTATGCTGATTGGAATGGAATTATTTTATGATTGGGGGTGACCACAACATGATGAACTGTATTACAGGGTCGTTGCATTAGGAATAGTGAGAACCAATGTTCTAAAGGATTTCCAGCGATGTGTTTTGATTAATCCGCTATCCATACCCTTTCCCTCAGAGTGTGATCATCAGCATCATTCACGCCCTCCCTCCCCATTTTAGCCATGATAGCTTGGGGTCATTAACTGATGGTCATCTCCATAGATAACAGTAATAGTAGGTATTCTAAATGAAAATTTCATTATGAATTTTAAAAAAAAATTGAATTATTCCCCAAATAAGCTTGGTTGAATCAGAACGACAGGAAAGTGTAGTTTTGGCACCAACTATCTTCTAAAATAAGCAAGTTGGAACTTTCAAATCTCTTTCACACACAACCAGCTATACATTTAAAAAACTCAATTTTTTTCATGGTTGTAACTAAAATTTAAATACTATTTTTATTCATAGAATATTTGCCGAAGCTCAATTTTACAAAATATTAAAAGCGAGACAAAAATTCTGCTCAATTAATATTATGAAAATGGTTATACAAAGCAGGAATCATTAACTATGAATGAGTATTAATGAAAATCAATTTATAAGAACTAAAGGATTATTTCAGCATGGCATGTTCACAAAAATGAAGCAATTTTTTTTTTAAATCATAAAAGATAAAGAAGCAAGGTATCTAGTATGTACATAAAATTTATAACACATAAAACTTGAATTTATAACACATAACACTTGAATTTATAACACATAACACTTGAATTTATAACACATAACACTTGAAAATTAGTTATGATGGCAAGCTCAATTTTACCAAATTGAGACAAAAAGTCAAGTTTAGTTCATTTTTAAAAAATCATAAAACATCAATCAATTAAGTTAATCTAAAAATACAGGAGTCAATTAAAGGGAATTTAAAGCACATCAATGTGAAATCATCAAGCAAGGGTAACACAACAAAATATTGTACAGATATTATTTCAGCACTGCATGTTCACAAAAACTAAGTATAGATTTTTTAAAAATTCTTAAAAAATTAACAAAGTAAGATATCCTAACAAATTTTACACAGTATTGTAGAACATAGTAATCTTGTGAAGAATAAAAAAACAAAGGTTTAGTTAGTAATGATGGCACCTTCCTCATCAAGCATATTAATTAATTAATTTTTGAGTTCATTGACAATCTTTAAAAAGATGATGAAAAAAAATATCAAAGACATAGCAAGTTTCATCTTCAAATTCAGTTAAATTTTTTTGTAATTAAGGACATGTCAAAAATTGTGCTTTTATAATTCAGACTTAAGTTATGAAACAGAACAACCATATTTTGGACAAAGCCCTAAGGCAAGTAATATCTTCACTGGTGTTTCGAACAAAAACAAGAACGAAGTACAGAAGCTCCTCATTCCTGCCGAAGACAATAGGGGACTGGAACAAGCTTCCAAAAGCAACAGTTGAGGCGGCTACACTCGATACATTTGTGTCTATTGCCTCCTGTATTCCAACCCCCAGTTCATAACACCACTGCTGAGTCGCCCTTGCAACCAGTGAAGTATCCCATTGAAACCCATGGACAGTAACATCGCAAACCTCTCTGAAACATAGGAGCCAGAATGATCAATTCATTGATCGTGGGCCCTTAAAATAAAGAAGAAGAAGAAGAAGAAGAACAGAATAAATTTAGAAACTTGATTGCGGATTTTAATCCCAAACTCTGAAACCGTCATGCACTTTGCCATTGAAAGATCTACATTTCATACCGCTTGCGGTAATAGCAGATTCACATTCTAAATATTCATTTTTCTTTTCTTAAAGATATAATTGTTTAGTTTCTTATTGTTTAGTCTTTTTATTGTTGTACAAATGAAACTTGTACAATACAATGCTTGCTATATTATGCACAGCTTACACTGGCATATCATGGAATGCCACTACCGTACTAGCATGTAATCTGATGTAGGTTTATTTTATTTTTCAGTGCTAAGAGAAACAAGTTCTAGTCATTATTTTATCAATTAAGTATGAAAATGTGTTTTGTTTAAAAAATAACTAATTTAAACAAGTAAAAACTTCAACCTTTTGTAAATGTTTTGGAAACTTGAACTTTGTTGGCATGGCCAGTGGCTGGAGTGTTGTTTTGTTGGCATGGCCAGTGGCTGGAGTGTTGTTTTTTTCTCCAAACCTGTAGAAAAATTCTTCATCAAAATGGGCTGAACACAAAACAGCTCTAGATGAATGTGTGAAGTTGTCTCTTCTGATGTTTCGAAGCCATTTCTTCAGAAGTTCCTGGCTCTTCAATGGGCATCTGTATAAGAGACTTAAATGCTTTAAATGATTTTTAACACACACTTTTTTTTTTAGAAACTGTTTTCCTACTCACCTTTTGATCTGACCTTAATATTTACCCTGAACAAAACCTGAAATAACGCCCCTGATGGCCATAGTCTATAGTAGCTGATCATTTTCATCCTGCGGAACTACTATACCAGACAAGTCAACACCGTCCTCTTCTGAACATTCAGCCCTTAAAATGTAGAATTATTGTCGGGTAAGCAATAATTGCCAAGCATTTTTTTTTTTAATTGAACATGATGTACAGTGATGTGTTAATCATTCAAGGGAGGGTATTAAGAGAAAAATGAAAGGTGAAGAGATGCCAACTTTTGACTTCTATTGCACTAACAAAGTGTGCTAACATTCTGACCAACCATCTGCACAGTGTTTTTTTCAGAGATTTTCCCCCGGGGGAACTCTAGGAATAATACTGCATGTATTTTGAGAAAAAGACCCATGGAGGGCCTTCAAACACCTCTGGCACATGGCTCTACATGAGCCAATGAAGTGAGTGAAGTAGTGGAGTGACGTTATAAAGTTTCTTTGCCTTTAGAACTAACCTAGCAACTGAGTTTTGAACTTTCTGCAGTTTTTCTATGAAATGTTTTGGTGAAACTGACAGAAGAGAGTTATAATAGTCAAGATGAGAGATAACAAGAGCACAGACTAGCGTTTTTGTTTTGCTAACTGTGAGGTATTGGTGGCTGGAGCTGATCTGATGGATAGCAGTGTATGCAGAGCAAAGATGTGAGAAATATGATTATTGAGAGACATGTTGTCAGAAAGAATGTAACCAAGATTCCTAGCAGAGGATGTGAACGCTACCTACTTGAAACAAGATGGGGAGAGCTGAATTAAAGGCTGATTGTGAATGAGGAGTTTTGTCATCGTTCAGTTCAACTTGCTGAGACTCATCCATGACTTGACATCAGCAATGCACTCCTGCAAGGTGTGGATAGCGGAATTGACAAGAGAGGGATGGGTATGCTTGTATAGCTGCATGTCATCAGCAAATGATTAGCTCTCAACAGCATGCTCCAGAGTGGGAGGAGAAGTGGCCTGGTATACATTGTGAATAGGACGGGACCCAAAATGGACCCCTGTGGCACTCTGTACACCAAGTTAGCACTACCGGAAAGACAGCCATCAACAGCGACCCCCTGCGTTCTATCTATATGCTACAAGAAGTCTCCACGATCTGCGTTCGCCCCCTTTTTCTGGAGTAATTTCAACCGTTTCAATCTTTCCCTCGACTCAAACACGTGTCTTTCTACAGTTACACACTGTGGTCAGAAAACTGTAAAATGAAGAAAAACGATATAAAATAATGTAATATGATGAAATTCCAACTTATAGTTTCATCGAATACAATTTTACACCCTTTATTTCAGGTTCCAAGTTGTCAGAAAATCAATGCAAAATAATAATATACCCATTTTCCAAAATGCTGTAAAATTGTAAATAATTTAATTAACAAACCAATGAAATTTTAATTTAAAACATTCCATCTTCATATTAAAGAAAAGTTAACTCTAGGAATAACACAATAATAAAGTAAAGGGAGTGAATCCTACAGAGACGCCCATCATGGCGCGGATTGCCGAAATTGACCACCTATTTTTTTTAGCATAGGCATAAGGCAAGCTTGGCCCTAAGTAAGCCTAAGTATTAAAAATAACGAGTATTAGTAACAAGTTAAATTAGTACTATTAGCAATAGTTAGTCAACCCTCCTTCCCTGAGTCTGAGACATAGTCTCAGATGTGGATTTTTAAAAAACATTTTTGCACCACTTCTATATACATTTCTAAAATTTATTAGATAATTATAAGAGCAACAAAGTGAGCCCACAAAAACACCATGTATTCCAAAGGCTCATCTCTCCCCACCGATTCATCTCCGATTAATTTTATTGAAATTAGTTGGTAATTTTAGCCAAATCTTACTTTTAACTTTTCATGTTATTTTTAAATGCTTAACAAGTAGGCATAGTGCCAAATCATAGAGACAACTCATATGGTAATCACAATAGTTATAGTAACTTTGAGATTAACAGTTCAAATTGACAGGGTAATTAAAACAGTGTCCTTTTTTTTTGCCTGGATAGAGAGTGGTCAAATAAACTGGCATAGGGACTCTCAGTTCCTTCAGCTTCTTAGTATGACACTGAAGACAGTGGAGTCAGTTAAGCACTGGATGACCATGAACAAGCTCAAATTGAACAATGAAAAGACTGAGCTGATCCCCATTGCTACTGCTCAAAAGATAAAATCTGTAAATAACATGCAATCCCTTACTCTCCCAGGTGTGCAGATTGATTTTGCTTAAACAGTGCGAAACCTTGGTGTCTACTTAAAACACTAACTACGGAAAATCACATAACATGCTTTGCAAGGCGATTTTTCTAGAGCTGCTCAGAATTTGTCATATCAGACCTTTCTTAACGTTTGATGCATCAAAGAGGCTAATGTCTGCATTCGTGCTATCGTGCATGGACTACTGCAATGCTCTCATGGTGGGTCTTTCAGCTACGCTCCTGGATAAAATTCAAAAAGCACAGAATAATGCGGTTCACATTGTTCTTCACAAACGCAAATTCAAAAATGCTTAAACACTTCTGCAAGAGCTGCATTGGCTGCCGGTCCGTGCTCGCATAGAGTACAAAATTGTAACTCTGTGCTACTACTGCTTCCATGACATGGCGCCGGCCTATCTCAAAGCGCTCACAACACCTCATGTACCCACTAGACAACTCATGCGATAGTGGCAAACTCTGGATACCGCTTGTTGGCCTTGAGACTTACGGAAGGTGCACGTTTGCATTTGCTGGCCCAACAATTTGGAATACTCTTCCTGTCGCTCTCAGAAACAGCCAGACACTGGAATCCTTCAAAACCGATTTGAAAACACATCTATTTTGCAAACACTGCTGGGGTGATTTTGTCTACCATCTTTTCCAGCTAGCTATTATCTCCTAGATGTATATTAGCTTGTGTTGTTATGGTTGCAAGGGATGAAATACTTTGAATGGATATGCTCGTTTGAGATTTTTGTAGTGTCGCGTTTTGTGTTTCAATGTGTTGAAATATAAATTGTTTCATTTTTCTTTTAATATGGTTGACTTTGTACCATGCTTCGAGCCTTTTGGAGATGAGCATGATTTTTTTCAAGTAAACTTTATTATTATTATTAAATATTATAAGTTTATGTATATTTATATTTTCATTTTTCTAGTTGCTGTCATCTTACTCATTTATGGAGAATTAAAATGTTCCTCTATTATTTTGTTAGCTGATAAAATAATTTCCATCTATTTGTGACTAATTTCCTTTACAAAATATGTAACATATATCAGGGTGAGTCATTGCCACTGACATTATTTTCATCACCAGACTTTTATTTACCAAACTTACTGTTTTATAAATTTTTGTTTTTACATATAATCTTGAGTATGTATATAGATATGAAGTAAGACTGTTCTCTATGGTCAGGTGGGGCACAGCGAAATTTATTTGGTGGAGGCGACCAAAACTGGCAAGATAGGGAAGGTCCAAAAGTTACCTTTCGTGATATTTACAGTGTTGGTGGCCAGAGTCAAAGCAATCCTTACAAATGGTCAGCAAATAGTCATCAAGGTCAGGGAAGCTCTAATCAGCCATCATCAATTGATGTTCTGTGAGTTTCGTTTTATCTTTCACCTTTTTTTAAAATGAATTACTACTGAGTAATGAAAACACTACCAAAACTTATGAATGCCTGCAATATGATTGGTTTGTTGAATGAATGAATTTATATGCGCCTAGTAAACTGACTGCACAAATTAATTTACATAAACATTTTGAGTTTATTTTCTTATCATTTGAGCTATATTTTAGAATAATGATTATTATTTGTTTGAATATATATATATATATATATATATATATATATATATATGTGTGTGTGTGTGTGATTTTATCTCAAGAATATTAATGTTGCAATTAAATATGGGTAGTTTGTTCCCCAAGACACAATTTCACTTTTAAATTTATTTAATATTTGCAGGGATGACTTGCCTAAATCGATGGAGATTTGGGAGAAATCAAAGATGTGGCCATTTTCTTGTTTATCTTTGGATGCAAATATTCCCTCAATTCCAGGTAACAAAACAAAAAAAAACACACAAGGCTAAGTGAGCTTTTTACAATATAAACTTCAGTATATTCTGGTCAGAAGAAAAAAAAGTTTTAAAACCCATATTATATTTTATAAATAATATTGATACTAGACTATATGGAAAGGGTGGAATTAATTTCAAAAGTGGATCTTCATTTTATTTAGCTATTACTGATTTAGTGAAGTTAAATTTAATTTTTAAATAAAAATCATTAACAAATTTTTCACAAATTATTTCAATGGCATTAACTTCTGGTAAATTTGGCTTATATCTTATAGTTGTTCTTTATTTGTTCCAAATTACAGAGTTCTATGACATGAGCATGGAAGAACTGCGATTGGATGCTTACCAGGCTTTAAAGACAGACTCTATGCAATCCTATGTAAGTCTTGGCACAAATGTGTATATAACTTTTTGTTGTCAGTGTAGATTCCTCTCAGTGGGTGGCTTAGTTTGAGTGTGAGCCACCCTCAGCAGTCATGAACATTTTGTGACCCCTCCTTTCACACGTTTTGGATGGGTGGTAAAAAAATTACTAAAGATTATTATTACCCACTCTTGTCTTTTACACTTTTACCCAATTAGGAACACCCCTTACCTGCAGGCCATTTACTAACTAAGCCATTTATTTCTTGGATGTTAATTTTTTTAGAAAATTTGTACTCTCTTTCCTTATTTCAAACAGTAAGTGGTGTAAATAAACAGAAAGGAAATAGTATTTTCTCAATGGCGTAGGGAGGATGGGGTGGAAGGGGGCATTCTTCCCCTGCAGTTTTTCTCCATAAATATATATATATTATATATTATATATAGGGCATTTTCTGTCAACTACAGAGATTTTTTGTCAATTAGGGGCTGCAAAAATCTTGTCCTCTCAATGATTTCTCTTTATCTAACTATTTAAAGTTTATTTATTTTTTGCATTTCATGATCTGATTTCTTTTTTCTCTTTAAACTTTATTTACATCAATTTCTTTTATTCAAAGCTTCATTTAGCTGTTTTATTTAATTTTCTTTCTGCAGATTAAAAAATATCAGACCTTACAAAATGAATTTGCCAACAAAAGGAATCAGCTAAAGCACTTGACCATGGATATGAAAAGAAAACTGGTTTGTTAAATTTTTTCTCATTTGTTTCACAGCAGAAACTATTTTTCAGCATCCGACACATAGGGTATGATAGATTAAACTATAACTATTTGATTTTTGAGATGTGTTAAAATAAATGAATATTCCTATGTAATCCATGTAAGAGGTGAAAGAAAACATTCTTTTTTAATTAAATTATTATTAATGTTGATCACTGTAAATTTTTAATTTTCCAAGACAGCTCATATTTCAAATGCGGGTCAAGTTATTTATTAGAGTTGTAAATGAATAATTCATTATTTAGTAAACATTTAATAATAATAATAATAAAGTTTATTTGAAAAAAATCACACTTCATCCCCAAAGGCTCGAACAGTGATAAAAAGTCAACCATATTAAAAGATAAATGAAACAATTTATATTTCACCACATTGAAACACAAAACGCAACACTACAAAAACTTCAAACGAGCATACCCATTCAAATCTTTTATCCATTGCAACCATAAACAACACAAGCCGATGTACATCTAGGAGATAATAGCTAGCTGGAAAAGTTGGTAGACAATATCACCCCAGCAGGTGTTTGCGAAATAGATGTGTTTTCAAATCGGTTTTGAAGGATTCCAATGTCTGGCTGTTTCTGAGAGCGACAGGAAGGGTGTTCCAAATTGTAACAATTGACCTTGAACGATTTTACTGTTCAAAGCTATAATTTTAATAAATTCCTCAGATGTCATTTCTTGAAGATGCAAGGAAGAACATTGCAGCAAGGTAGGGCGTACCATTTTGAAATGCAGTTAGATAAGTTAATTGACATATCCTTATATGTAGAACAATGCAGCAAGATAGGTCATAACATGTTGAAATGCAATTGAACAAGTCAAGTGATGTGTCGTTAAACATTCAAATTTGAGCTGCTAGTTAGGGACTTTGTAAAAAAACATTGGACACAGACGTCCAGCTTTGAGAACCGACCTAATCAATCTCCAAAACACTGAAATATATTACATATTGAAAAAATGTACGGCTACATAAAAATGTGTGTAAAAGAAAATATATATTTAGACAAAAATTATTTTGCAAATTAACTTTGCTTATTGAAGCAATTTATTATTTTGATAATATGTTAATTTTCTTTTAAAAATATAATCAAATATTCCAATGAGATAATAATTTGTTTGAAATGTATTTTGGTTCTGTAAATGGTGGTCGACAAAGTGTCATAGGGGTAAAAGGTTGATTATTTGTGGGATTTTTGTTTTAAATAAGTTTCTTAATTATTAGAAGTAAAATATTACTCCAGGTGTTCACATTTGCTCTCTCTGCAATTCCTTAAATATTTTTTTAGCAGATGTAATTTTTATTATGGTCCCTCAGTCAAGAAAGATTGCATAGCAATCACAAAGCAGTCATAAGAATCACATTTTTAATATACCATAAAAAATGTAATTAGTTTGTAATATATATCCTTATGTGTTCTCTTTTTAACCCTTTCTTCACCAGTGCTGGGTCCACAGTAAGTTTCTCAGTTCAAAGTGCATTGACACAGTCCACTTTATTTGGTCAGTCGAGGCCAGCCCAGGAGTCGGGTTTGTTTTCTCAACCCAGTTCCAGTAGCGGTCTCTTTGGAAAGCCTGGGGGAACAGGTCCTCAACCTACAGCCAGTTCTGGACTCTTTGGCAAGCCTGCAGGGACAGGCTCTATTTTTGGTGGTAACACTCTAACACCAGATAGTCCATTTGGGTCAGCAGCATCCAGCTTTGGAAATCAAAGTCAAACATCTTTTGGAAAGCATGGCACTGCTTCATCAGTATTTGGAAACATAAATGTACAAAATTCATTGTTTGGCGGAGCTTCTAGTAACTCTGGTTTTTCAAAGTCTGGAACAAGCAATTCAGCATTTGGAAGTCCTGGAACTTCTTTGTTTGGTAAACCTGTCGAGCAGAGAAGTATCTTTGGTGGTCAGATGGCTGAATCAAGCAACCCATTTGTTGCTGTCAACCAAACCAGCTCTTTACAAACTCCAAGTTTATTTGGTGGTGACAATTCAACGCAAGCGGGTTTGTTTGGAAGCGGGCCGCAACAACAAAGCAGCAATCCCGTGGGGGGATCCTTCAATGGCCCAGTTTCAATGGCGCCTGGTCTGTTTGGGAAATCTGCTGTGGGTCCCAATGCTTCATCACTGTTTGGGAATAACACCAACGGTCAGCAACAGACTTTGGGTATGTTTGGGTCATCTACAAACACCTCATTTTTTAACAGTGGCCCTAACACTGGTCAACAAATGGGAACTTTATTTGGTAACCAGCAGGCAGAGAATGCAATAAACCAAGGAGGACATCAGAACAGCGGAGGCCTCTTTGGTAAAGGACCGTCTGCTCCTCCTTATGCGACTGGAATGGCAGCCAATGATGCATTTTCAGGATGCTATACGCTGATGTCAGATTTAACAGATCAAGAAAAAGAAGCTTTTAATGCACAGTCTTTTCAGCTTGGTAAAATACCATTGCGTCCCCCGTCCATAGAACTCATTCGAAATAAATAAATACATTTGTCTGTTTACAGAATTACCAGACTTTAATGTTTTTTTCTCAATGCATTGACATTTTTTTGTTTTTATGGTCTCTCAACTAGATGTGGAGATGAAAGACAGAATATTAATTATTTGGAATCTATATGTTATAGTCTACTAGCCCTCCAAAAACAAAGTGATTGTACATGAACTTCACATGCCTTTCAATAATGTTTAGCCATTTCAATTGAAAAAAACAGATTTTATGCTAAGTTAAATACAAGTTATTGGTTTATTATTAATGAATTTTAGTCACCTTTTCTAATTTGGGAGCATGATAAGATTAATTTTAAAAAAACATGTATTTTGGTGTAGTTACTGTTTATTGAGAAACATAAAAAAGTTACATTTACAACATGACATATGTTTTTGTATGTAGATGTTTAAATGTGTAAATCTGGTTACATGTAAACATGTCAAAGTAAAGAGGAATGTTTGGGTTTACCTTTTCAATATTAACTTTATATTTGAACAAGTGTAGGTCAAACAAAAATTTATCGAAATAATCCTCCAAATTTAGCAATACAGTTTTGGAATCAGTTTGAAAAATAAAATAAACAATAGATATAAAAAATGACTGATGCCAAGATTTTTATTTTTGGTTTTTCAAATGGCTGCTTCAAAATGTTCTACAACTGATTACACATATTCAAATATATAATTTACAGTGGTGAAAAAAACAACAACTTCACAAAATAATCTCAAATAAAAGGTGGATAATTTGAGCTTAAAAAAACACAAACCAAGTTTCAAAAAAAGAAAGAACGGTTTTTCTGTGGATTATAAATTATTTAGAATTTTTTAAAATCTAAAATATATAAATTTATATATTTCCATCAGCTCATTATCCGAAAATGCAAAGTTAAAAATGTATGTATTTGATAAATCGGAAATAAAGACAGGAGTAAGTCTAAATAAAAATGAATTGATAATGTAAATTATGATACTGGTTGGGCTAAGAGACATTTCAACAAATATATTTTAAAGACCTATTTTAAAAATGCAAACTTGGTATTTAACAGAGTTCATCTAAATGAATAGCAATATTGATAAATGCAGATGTACCCCAGCTCAATGGGTCTTTGATATACAAAAGTCAAATACTGTTCAATTGTGTTAACAATACTTTTAAAAAAATCTATGCTTGAATTATTGTCTTTTTCTAATGGTTATAATATTACATATTCTTTTTTTTATTCAGCAAAAATACAAAATTAAAGGGAAATATTTTATTTCATACAATGTAAATAGTAAGCACTGCAACACAAGCTAACATTCAGTATATAATCATCTACAAGTGATGTAAGAAATAGACTGTTTGGTTAAAGGACATGTAATTTTTTCTTAAATTTTGTGAAATTTAAAAAAAAAAGGTAAGAAAAATGTACTTCAACACTTCCAACAAATCGTATTCAATAAAAGTAAATTTGATTTACACGCTCAGCAATGACAGTTTGTTTAATTGTGGATTTGTCTGTTTAAAACACATTTACCTAAAATTAAGGAATTTTTATAAATTACAATTTTCTTTAATAAAAAGCCAGATCAGATGAGCCATTTACGTTTTAATTGTCCCCATGAATGACTGCTGCAGAGACATATATTACATTAAATATCTTCCAATTACAGTAATGAACAAGATTGTGATCATCAAAAAATTGAGAATATATTTGTCTTATTGTTGATAGCAACAAATTTTCCTGATGGTTGTTTACTTACAAGATAAAAATGGGTTTGTGATTATATTTCCCTTTTATATCATCCAAATATTTAGGTTAAATTTAATTCTTCCACTGTTGAAATTATTCATCTTGTCAAAAACAGTTTTACAAATGTTATGGAAATTTACACCCCCAGCCTTTGATTTACACACCCCCCCAACCCCCCCCCCCCCCTTAAAAAAAAAATGAAAGTGCTTTTTTTTTATACTTCAAATATTTTGCATAAATTTTCAAACAAATAACTTTTAATAAGAAAAAAATATCTGTACATAATTACAGAGAAAAGTTGAGAAAGAGCGACTGCAAATATATTGTGATAAGGTTTTCTGTCAATAGGGACAGAAGACCTTGTTAAGTAGATCAAATGTTTGATAGGTAAATGAGTATTTAATTCTGTCCTGGTCATCATATATATCAACTGTTGTCCCTCTTGGAAAGTTTGAAGTTTTGTTTGTTAAATCTTGATATTGTAAGTCAAGTCAACAAGTCTACGCTAAACACTTGGATTTTTAACTTCATATGGGAAAAAAACCCAGCCATTTTGTTTTTAACTGGTGTATCACAAGCTTTAAAAATGCAGGGTAAAGATCTATGTTACAGAAGGGTTGTTGTATTATTATTTTTTTGGACCTTACTGGGTAAAAGAGTGTCATTCAGTTTCAGTGACATCCTTAGATAATTCAAATAAGCTTATAATAAAATATAAATAGTTTGCTGCGAAACTGCAAAGCTATGAAAAAGATTATTATTTTTTCTTAATATTTGAATATTATTGAGTGCTCAAGCATTTGACCATTAAAACCAGTGCCTGCCACTATTACTATTATAAATGTTGAAAACTGCTCATGTCAACTTTTGATAGAAGTCACTTGTCATTCCCCATTGACAAAGTATTTGTATTTTAACAGCTAATTTGAAGCTCATTGGAAGAATCCGTTTAATCAAAGGTTATTATTGTAAATTCCAACAGATGCATTTTACTTATTATGATTTAGATACACCATATGCATTTTGGCTGCTGAAGGCTTTAATAAAAAATGGCCATCACTTTGTTTTGTCTTCAATGAAGCTGCACACTACATGTTAAACTGACCCTTAGACCTCGCTGCACACTACATGTTAAACTGACCCTTAGACCTCACTTGCACACTACAATGTTAAACTGACCCTTAGACCTCGCTGCACACTACATGTTAAACTGACCCTTAGGCCTCGCTGCACACTACATGTTAAACTGACCCTTAGACCTCGCTGCACACTACATGTTAAACTGACCCTTAGACCTCGCTGCACACTACATGTTAAACTGACCCTTAGACTTCATGTCACAGCTTACTTTAAACAGTCATTGACAGCTACGACCAAATGAATGTAATGGAGATTTTTTAAAAATTGACAAAACCATATATATTAATAATTGCTTTGTTTTTCTCCCTCAAGGAATGCTAGCAGTATAAGTGCATGTGGATATAGTTAAGAAAATATCTATTTAGTATCAATCTGATTAGCCATGTGGAAAAATCTTGGTAAACAGCGGAAGTTAATTTTGTTGTTTCGTTTTAGAGCTACCGTATAATTGATGAGTTTGGAAACTATTGTAGGCATATAGAGAGAAAATTAGGAACATAAGAATAAAAAAAATGAAATTTAAGAAACAAAAATAGGAATATTGATTGTTGGAATGGAGGTGATAACAAGAATTTCAGTTTTTTTTTTTAAGAATAAGAATCGATCATTTCGGGAATATACGAACAAAACAGGAATATTAATGGTGGAGATATTTTCTATTTAAGTAGCAATTAATTTTGAACATCAACTATAAACAATGAGAGATTGATTCATGAACAGTTTGTAACAAATTCAGAAGATTGATTCACGAACAGTTTGTTACAAAGTCAGGTAACATCATTGCAAAGAATGGAAAAAGTTCATCACTAGCAAAGTTTGAAAGTCTTGGCTGCTATGTGCCAATTATGTAAAACCTTTTAAATTGAGAGTGATTTTATCCCCCCCAGAAGAGAATCGTATGTTAAATGATTTCGTATGTTAAATGATTTAAGTAAATATTTTGAATCTTTAAATTATGTCAAACTATTTCCATAAAATGTTTCGGATCAATAGAATTTACGCCTTGTAACAGACTAACGTGATTTCAGATTTATAATGCAGAATCTAGAGATTTTTTCTACTAGTTTTTTTATAAGAATATACTGTAACAAGATTGTCTTTAAAAATCTAAAAATTGTGGATAAATTTACACTACAGTTATAGACTGGAAAAAGTCTTGTACCATTTAGGATTGAATTCATAGAGAACCACATAAAAAATACAACTAAACATTGCAATAAGATTAAAACAATAGAGAGAGGTAGACAATTTTGAAGGAAAATTATAAACATTTAAACAGAATCAATTATAAGCATCCTTAAGATTTTGTTTCTTTTAATTGTTATAAATGGTAAACCTTTTGAAAATCCACCTTGTTTCAATATTGAAATCTACATTATAATAAGCTAATGCAGTACTTCTCAAATTTGTGCTATTCCAAGGCGCCCTAAGTCTATTTCTGCTCCATACATCATCCACTGGGGGTTTTCATTCAATAGTCACTAAAAGGTGGCTAAGAGCAGCACCAAGTTCCATCTAGTCCAAGTTTCTAACAGGTCATGTGGACATGTTGCATCCTATCATATGCAACGGAAAATGGAAACAAAATTATGAACTTTAGCAAAACACTTTAGGAACCACTAAGTTAGTGGAGTGAATCGATCTTATCACACTGAGCCGAGCCAGTGGAGTGAACCAATCATGTCACACTAAGTTAGTGGAGTGAATCGATCTTATCACACTGAGCCGAGCCAGTGGAGTGAACCAATCATGTCACACTAAGTTAGTGGAGTGAATCGATCTTATCACACTGAGCCGAGCCAGTGGAGTGAACCAATCATGTCACACTAAGTTAGTGGAGTGAATCGATCTTATCACACTGAGCCGAGCCAGTGGAGTGAACCAATCATGTCACACTAAGTTAGTGGAGTGAATCGATCTTATCACACTGAGCCGAGCCAGTGGAGTGAACCAATCATGTCACACTAAGTTAGTGGAGTGAATCGATCTTATCACACTGAGCCGAGCCAGTGGAGTGAACCAATCATGTCACACTGAGCTAGTGGAGTGAACCAATCATGTTACACTCAGCCAGTGGAGTGTACCAATCATGTCAATCACAGCTAGTGGAGTGAACCAATCATGTTACACTGAGCTAGCCAATCATGTTACATGTGCCAGTAGAGTGAACCAATCATGTCAATCACAGCTAGTGGAGTGAACCAATCATGTTACACTGAGCTAGCCAATCATGTTACATGTGCCAGTAGAGTGAACCAATCATGTCACACTGAGCTAGTGGAGTGAACCAATCATGTCACACTGAGCTAGTGGAGTGAACCAATCATGTCACACTGAGCTAGTGGAGTGAACCAATCATGTCACACTGAGCTAGTGGAGTGAACCAATCATGTCACACTGAGCCAGTGGAGTGAAACAATCACTGGGATGATACTGAGTGAAATATCTGCAAGTGTAAACCTTGGATGTACATGTAGTAATAATATATATGCACAAAGATAAACCCAAAATTGTGGTCAAAACATGAAAAATAAAAATGTGCAGGGGGAAAAAAGAACTCTGAGTAACTAAACAAGTCAATATTGGTTTCAAGGATATATAAAATGAATGATTATTTAAATATTACGGTCAGGCTGATATGATTTTGTATGTGCTTAAATTCATAGCTAATTATTTACATCAGAATATAAATAAGCATTCTATGTAATTTTTAAGTACTTAAGACTGTTCAGTATCACTATTAAATGCACTTCTTTCATTTAAAAAAAATACAATATCTGCTCAAAAAGTTGCCTAGCTGATACAACCTTGCTGTGCTGTCTATTATTACAAGAGACCACTAGTGGCCCAAACAACAACTTGACTGAGCCAAAGGTGTAGTAAGCAATAAGTTACAGGCTAATCATAATACAATTGATGTTGTGTACACACACAAAAGTCGGAGCTTTAAGTAATATAAAATATTTACACATGAGCACACTTTGTGTGTGTGGTTGTTTCAGCACCGAGCCATTAAGATAGTTTAACAAACTGGAATCACTGGGTAACTGTGTGAGAATCGTAATGTGTTATTCAGAATGGGTTGAATAAATAGGATTGAGATTCCTTGTCACTTGAGATGAATATAAACATTTAAAAAAAATTAGGTTTGTTCCATATGATGGATTGAAGATTAGTGTTTTGGTTTTGTTTTTGCCATTTGTTCCTACTTTGAAATGACTCCAATGACATCTAAATGCAAACCAAACTGTGTGACCCAATCAAAGAAGACACCTTTTCACTGGGACATCATAAGGCATATTTGTGTGAGGGTCTTCTAGTTTCCTTACAACAGGCAAAACACTGGAGTGATATCTTGTTATCTTTCAGTTTTAACTCACACAATCTTTCAGTTTTAAATCATACACAATCTTTCAGTTTTAAATCATACACAATCTTTCAGTTTTAAATCATACACAATCTTTCAGTTTTAACTCACACAATCTTTCAGTTTTAAATCATAATCAGAAGTTTTTCAAACCTTTTAAAACATTGTCTACATTTCAATAAGCTGCTACTTTTGCACCATTAAAAACAAAATCTATTCAAATTGGCAATCAGGAAGCAGCACATTTATGATGCTACACTACCTCTTGTCTACTCAATACTAAAAAAATTGTAATAAAAGGAAAAATTCATAGATAAATTTCATTAGTATACCGGTATATTGAATTTCAATTTTAAATATATGATAATATAAAAATCTCATCGCATTATACAATATCATATTTTCATAAATCATACAAAGAAATTTCCATCATTCTCAAAGGTATGAATTTTTACCAACAGATAACAGAAAACAAAAATATGTATGCTTGAAATGGACACTTATGTACAAATGTAGCGATGTCTATGGCTGAGTACACGTGTAGGGAGGTGTACAGCTGAGTATTATAACATCTTATTTGGACCACGATGGTCTGAGATATTTGATATCAACAGTTACTTCACTTAAGAGCCAGACTTTGAAGGCAAAGCATTACCAGAAGCTCATACACACTAGGAAATTTTGATTCAACAATGGAATGTGTCCTGTCTAACAGGTGGGAGTCGTCCACACAAAATAGTAAGGTGCGAAACACCAGTAAATGCAGCTGTTTGGTAACAAAGATCCAGTAAGCTAAAATATGTGGGGCTGCCCTGTGGCAATGAAAAGTTCATTCTGCAAAACAACCCCCAAGTCTCTAAGAAATAAAATATGTACCGGTAATATTGCCTTTAAAAATCTGGTTAGATAATGTTGAAGACCAGAGTACTATGATAGCATTGTGCTGCAATGCAGAAATACCATTGTATAAGTTGTGAAGGTTTGTATAGACATCTAAGTTGATCCTGTATGCAATGTACAACAATGGAGCACTGCATAGTTATCTCAGTTGATCCTGTACACAATGTATAACAATGGAGGACTGCATAGATATCTCAGTTGATCCTGTACACAATGTATAACAATGGAGAACTGCATAGATATCTCAGTTGATCCTGTACACAATGTATAACAATGGAGCACTGCATAGATATCTCAGTTGATCCTGTACACAATGTACAACAATGGAGCACTGCATAGATATCTCAGTTGATCCTGTACACAATGTAAAACTGTAAAGCAGTATGAAAAAGTTCATCAGTTCAGATGGGTCCAGTTTTTGTTGTCTAAACTACAGAAACCTTGAGGCTGATAACGGCTACAAACTGAACATTGAACAGCTGTAAAACTGAACATCTGTGAAGTCTTTCCAATCTGGCAATGTGGAGTAGGAGAGGAATGTTGAGTATTCTGTTAACAGACAATACAAGCAACCAAAAACAGGCAATTCATCTGTCACAACTGTCACATGAGAAAAAGTTTTAGCCAAAACGTCCCATCATCATTCAAGGCTTATGGATCCGCCTGTGCTTTCTCTTTAGGAACAAAGCCGCCACACTTTCTGTTGGCACTGGATTCTGACCTACAGCGGGGTCTCATCTCGCCAGGGTCAAACTCATCTTCCTCCATAAGAATGTTTTTGTCGCTGTTGGTCTTCACGTCCACCAAAACATCTGTCGGCCTGGGGGAGTGGTTGCCTGGGTTGACACCTGCTCTGTGAAGCAAGAGCGGGTTATCAGAATTGAAACTGGGGCTTCCCGGAGACCCGGTGGCGTCCCCAGTGACTTTGTTAATGTTGCTGGTGTTTAGGCTGATGTGTCGGGTGCGGAAAACTTTGCTCAGGACTCGGCTGCTACGATTCAGTTTGTTGGGGACTGCTTGCATTGAGCTGGGCTGGATGACATAACTGTAGAGATGAGGGCATTGTAAATACAAGGTTACTGTATGTTGAATTGAAACTAGGTAATGTACAGTATAAGGTATGTAGCAGGTTGTCTAAGGTATGTTGTAAGTTGAATTGAAACAATGTAATATACAGTATAAGGTATGTTGTAGGTTGAATTGAAACAAGGTAATGTAGAGTCTAAGGTATGTTGTAAGTCGAATTGAAACAAGGTAATGTACAGTATAAGGTATGTTGTAGGTTGAATTGAAACAAGGTAATATACAGTATAAGGTATATTGTAAGTTGAATTGAAACAAGGTAATATACAGTATAAGGTATGTTGTAGGTTGAATTGAAACAAGGTAATATACAGTATAAGGTATGTTGTAGGTTGAATTTGAACAAAGTGAGTTAAACTATAGTCAAATCAATGACAGGCAAAGTATTTTTTTATCCTCATCTACATTTCAATTCTATAAATTTTTAATTTAATCTTGGAAACACCTTAAATAATATTAATCGTTAAATTTTAGTGCAATGATATTGAGTTAAAGACCACCCTTATAACTTATATTAGCACAAAGATAATAATTGATGGACTGCATTCAAGCTTAGCATACATTACTATATTAGCTACCCAATGGAGGAGGGGGGGAGGGTGGGGGGGAGATCATAATAAGATTTAATCATAAAAGATTTTGCCAATGGATGCAGGCATTTTGGATAAATGCTCATGTACAAAAAATTTGTGAGACTTTAGATTCTATAACTGACATATTTTTGTACAAGATTATTTATCTGAACACATTCTGTCATAATGACTTGAAGCTCAGCAAATGTTGCAGCTGGCCAATGCACACAACTATGTCTCTACAGATGACATTTGGAATCCTGTGTTCATGCAGCTCAATTGATAGTGACAGAAAAGATCTTGAACATTACATTGTACAAACATGAACAATTGAATATTAATGTATCTTACAACATAGAACATGGCCCACTTATAATTTCAACCCTTAATTTTTGTTTTTTAAATAAAGCACTAAAATGGACTGTCCACATATCTAGTAATGTTGTTCCATAAGATTAAGATGACTTGTTCCCCCCTGGACGGCTGAAACATAAGGTTATCAAACAGTAAACTCAATAACTTTGATCAGACAGACGTCGCTTATTTTGATGGATTCAAAATATTTAAATTCAATACAGTACAGGAATCTGTATTACTAGAGCTAGCGTAATTAACTGATGAATTATCATACTTACATCTAAATTCATCTTCTTTATTTAAAATTTATTTATCAATATAAAACTCAAAATTTGATGAAAATTGGACTTCGACATTTGTGATTTATTGATTTAGGAAAGAAGTAAATGTGTTAGAAGAATGGGGCCCATAGCCAAGGGTGGGGCCCATAGCCAAGGGTGGGGCCCATAGCCAAGGGTGGGGCCCATAGCCAAGGGTGGGGCCCATAGCCAAGGGTGGGGCCCATAGCCAAGGGTGGGGCCCATAGCCAAGGGTAGGGCATACAGACATTTTTCTTGTTGCTATGTTTAATTCAAAAGTGTTACTGGGTAATACAAAAAAGGGTTGAAGTCAAGTAGCATTTTTTATTCTAAATTTCTTGCATTATATACATTTATATACAGTACTCATCAAAGGTGAAATTTAAGAAACAGATTTTTCAGTTTTTTATTCTTTAGTCCCTAAATATCTGTTGTATCCTGGCAATGGTTGTTAAAATGCATCTACTTCTGGATGGTCAGGATACAAATTTCAGTCTTACAGTATCTCATTAGTACAGTAGACTAATGAACATTTACAGCATGCGGGGGGGGGGGGGGGGTGTGTTAATGTAAATGGAGATTTTGCATTTGTAATGGTTGGATGGCCGTCTATAACTTACACCATGTCTCCACACTTGAGCCTTCTCTTGGGGGATGGGTTCACAATGACATAGGATAATGTCTTTGGTGGTTTCTGGATGGTGTCTAAATACATTGAAGAAAAAATATACATCATTATTAAGTCAGAATGACAGAACTCTTTGAAATGATCTGAGACAAGATGCTGTCCAACCTTTGGACTGGTTTTTAAATGGCCCACCAGAGCTTGAGACATTTTTACCATTTGTCTAAAAAAAAATACATGGAAAAAAAATCAAAAGACATTCAGTGATACAGTTTTGGGAAATGGCATAAGAGGAGAAGAGAAGTGATGGCATTCGAAAAAAAAGAAGGGGTGTGGCAAAAGTAGAGGGATGCTTGACAGATGGCAGTAATTTATGTTAAGCGCAGCAGCCTCTCAACAATGTGGGAACATGGAGCGACATGAAATAGGCTACTACGAACTTTTTCTTTTTGCTTTTTCCACCAGCTTAAAAAAAAGGGGGCAGGGAGGGGGGGCAGGGGGGCGTGTTCGGGGTGTATAGGTTTAATGACTAACAGCATTGGGAAAGATGAATTTGGAAACTTGAAGTATAATAACTTGATTTGTAGCTAGCTCGTCATCTTAAAATTTCCATGTACACCAGCAGGACTGGATTAGTTGAATTAGATATGTAAGCCCCACGTGTTAAAACGGCTGCCTTATAAAGGATGACAATAAGAAGACAGGAGTTAACTAGGTGAGATCTGGGCTACTAAAGGTGTTGCAATGTGAGCCAGTTCAAACAAAATAGGCAGTCTCTCCAGGTTTGGGGCGGTATGTCCATCCTGTATTTATATTTTTTAGACAAAATTAGACTAGTATCTGGTATTCATTAATCAGAGTTTGATCAATTCCAGGAGCAGAAAGCAGGATAAAAAGCTGTGTTTGTAGTTAGTGTACTTCCGTCAGGGAGAAAATCTGAGAGAAAGTACCAACGATTCTTGAAAACACTTTTATGTATAAAAAGATAAGGCCAAAATGGCAAATAAAGAAGTGAAATTAACTGAAGAGGCCCGTACTTTTAATGCTTTATGGGAACTGGAATTTTTGTTTTCAATGAACAGCCAGTGTGTTTGATATGCCAGACTTCTTTCTGGTATTAAAAAGTCCAATCACAGACACCACAAGTCAGTACATGCAGATTTTCCGAGAGATTATCCACTTGGAACAAAGTTAAGAGACGACAACGTTATTTCTTAAAAATAGAATCTGAATGACTTTGAGCTCAAGCGACTGTGCTACTAAAGCATCAGTTAATTATAGCTGGACATTAAATGACCAGTAGTTGAAGACTTAGGAGAAGATGAAAGAGACATTAAATGACCAGTAGTTGAAGACAGGAGAAGATGAAAGAGACATTAAATGACCAGTAGTTGAAGACTTAGGAGAAGATGAAAGAGAAATTAAATGACCAGTAGTTGAAGACTTAGGAGAAGATGAAAGAGACATTAAATGACCAGTAGTTGAAGACTTAGGAGAAGATGAAAGAGACATTAAATGACCAGTAGTTGAAGACTTAGGAGAAGATGAAAGAGAAATTAAATGACCAGTAGTTGAAAACTTAGGAGAAGATGAAAGAGACATTAAATGACCAGTAGTTGAAGACTTAGGAGAAGATGAAAGAGATATTAAATGACCAGTAGTTGAAGACTTAGGAGAAGATGAAAGAGATATTAAATGACCAGTAGTTGAAGACTTAGGAGAAGATGAAAGAGATATTAAATGACCAGTAGTTGAAGACTTAGGAGAAGATGAAAGAGATTTGGGGGATTATTTTGTTGTTCTTCTTCTGTATCTTAAGGGCCCACGATCAATGTACTGATCATTCTGGCTCCTATTTATGTAGAGGGGATTCATGATGTTTCAATGCCAGGTAGTGAAGAGGTCATTTTACTGGTTGCAAGGGCCACTCGGTGAGGTTATCAGTGAGGGAACTGGGGGTTGGATGGCCTGAGACTATAGACGCAAATGATTCAAGTGTTGTCACCTCAACTGCTCCTTTTGGAAGCTTGTTCCAGTCCCTGATCGTCTTCGGCAGGAATGAGCAGTTCCTGTACTGGGTTCTTGCTGTTATAAGCATGAACTGCCCACCATGGTCTTGTCCCTGTCTAGGGGGGAGAGGGACGAATTTCTGTTTAACGTTGGAGAAGTGGACCGTACTGATGTTTGTTGTTTGAGCAAAGGGAAAGTGCTGGCAAGATTCTGTGAGCTCATTGAAAAAGTGAAAACGTTTCTCAGGACCAACGTAAAGGGTGATTTGTTGAATGATATGGAAATGCCTGAGTTTAGTGTAAGGCAAGCATTTCTAACTGATATCACAGATCACCTTAATAAATTATAATTAAAATTGCAAGGGCATTTTCAAATCTTACCAGCGCTGATGAATCTAAGCTGGACTTATTCATTACTCAAATGAATCAGTCAAATTTTACTCACTTCCTAGCGCTTGCAAAGACTGCACAACAACTTCCAGAGCTGGCCGCAAGTAATCGATTCAATCTATTGTTAGAAAATTTAAAGTTAGATTTCACAGATCGTTTTAAAGATATTCTCTGTCTTACTTATGTTTTGATTTTTTTAAAAATTCCATTTCATGTGATATCTCCATTGTGGCCACAATGATATTTAGAAGGAGGTGAAGGTGCAGTGCAGCTTGAAATCATCCAAATTCAGCATAACATGGCTCTTAAATTCAGCATAACATGGCTCTTAAATTCAGCATAACATGGCTCTTAAATTCAGCATAACATGGCTCTAAATTCAGCATAACATGGCTCTAAATTCAGCATAACATGGCTCTTCAATTCAGCATAACATGGCTCTAAATTCAGCATAACATGGCTCTTCAATTCAGCATAACATGGCTCTTCAATTCAGCATAACATGGCTCTTCAATTCAGCATAACATGGCTCTTCAATTCAGCATAACATGGCTCTTCAATTCAGCATAACATGGCTCTTCAATTCTGCATAACATGGCTCTTCAATTCTGCATAACATGGCTCTTCAATTTTGCATAACATGGCTCTTCAATTCTGCATAACATGGCTCTTCAATTCTGCATAACATGGCTCTTCGTGACAAACATAAGAATGCGTCGCCAACTGAATTCTGGATAACTTATGTTTCTTTAGATGAATTTCCACAACTATTGGATTGTTGTAAAAAGATATTGACAAGAAGTAGCTATGTCCGTGAAGCTATATTCTCTGTTATAATCAAAATGAAGTCCAAAATGAAACGCTTTGGCTGAAAAACTTTTATGAAAGACAATTAGGGAAGCAGTTACTGAATACCAGTCACAAATTAAGAAGTCCAAGCCAAAGCCAAAGATCGTGTTCAAGATGTACTAGAGGTTTTGTTTGTTGAGCTGATGTTCAAGATGTGCTAGAGGTTTTGTTTGTTGAGATGATGTTGCTAACCAATATACAATTCTTTATGCATAAAGTAAGGGCTATTAATACATTTCTTTTGAGATGTCATGTGCAGACCTCAGCATTACGAAAAAAAAACAATTTGTACCTCCAGGGTCAAAAAGGTTGGACAGCACTAGACACTATCTTAGACAATGAAGAAACTTATCAAATAAAAGGCACTATTTTTTAAAAGAAAATATGCCTGTGTTGTTTTTTTATGATAAAAAAATACTGAATTTATTTAGTAAATTTGACATTGCAAGGTTTCTTCAATCATTTCCTAGATAAAATATTTAAACCTTTTGGGGAAAAACTAGTGTATTATCAAACCCAATGTGAAGCTGCTTTCATCATTCAAATATATGATTGCATGATATTTCAACATCCCCCCCCCCCCCATATTATAGGGTTGGTGTTTAGGGGCCGTCATTCAATTAAATAAACCAAAACCACCCCTCCACAACGACCTGTTGGAAAAGTTCATTTAGCCATAGTCACAGGACATGGAGTTTATCAAATTTTTTTTTTTTTATATTTTGGAATTTGTTGAAGAACTAAAAGCTATTTATGGACTGTCAGAATTTTCAGATAGTTACTACAGATTTGTGCTTAGGGGTCGTTGGCTAATTACGTCACACAAAAAATTGACCTTTTCAGACCCCCACCCCCCCCTGTCACAAAGTGTCACAATTTCTTTACCTTCCCCACCTAAACATGTACATATGTTAATGGCATATTTTTGAGATATTTTAAAGCCAGTTATTAGAGTTTTGAAGATTTAACTGTGTTAAGATTTTGGCTCGTATAATAAACAATACGTAACAAAGGGCTGAGAAACAGTTTGCAAAGAAAACGATACTAAAGCTTGAAGCTAGTAATACTAACGATATTTAATTTAATTATAAAAATAAATTTCTTTACAAATACAAATTTGAGTAGAGAAGCAAAAAAGCCATATCAACTTACAGCAAGTGAAAAAGGTACACTCCTAAATATACAAATATTAATTTACACACACACAATTATATAATATCTCATACAGCATAAATCTCTCCCTAGCTCTTTCTGTCTTGCTTTTTGTCTGTTAAGAAACCCAATAGGCTTTATTTGAATTAAATGCGAATGATCTGGTAAAGATATTCTAGAAATTGCGTCACCTAATGGCATTCTTTAAAATAGATTGAATGCATTTCAATGTAAACAACGTCTTCCCAGCCAAGGAAAGGGCGGACAAGGAAGGAGTGACACAGCACATTTACTCAGTGACGTCAATATCAAGGCCATACTAAGGAGGCAAGTGGTGGGGGCTCAACCAAAATCTATGTTGAAATGGAAAAAAAGCCAAGCTATATGCTATGCTAGGGGAAGAGAAGGGTTGGCGGCTAAAATTAGTTCTACCTTAAAGTAAAAAATAGACAAAGGCTATAATATAACACAGTCCCTAAAGATCTGTTACAACCTGGCAATGACTGTTCAAATATATTTTAGCCAAAGATCTTGGAAAGGACATGGTTTATTGAGACAGAATCCACTTGTTGGATTGGGACAAATTTCTCCCTGACAACCCAAATATATTTGTAGGAATACTGAACCAACTACTTACAGGGCTGAGTCTTATTGCCCAGTCCTAAACTGTCCATCCTGGCCTGGACCATCTCTTCCAGGTGTTTGTCGCTGTGTTTTTCTTTCTCTGAGAAGACGGCGCCAACCGATGTGCGGGATGACCTCAGGTTCTTCTTATTATGTTCAGAAAAGGCAAACAGGTGGTACCTGCCATGGCGCTTGTGTTTGGTGTTGTTGTCACTTGCATCTGGTCCCTGGACAAATGGTGGACGGAAGGAAGATTTTAAAATTTAGGCCAACGTCAATACCATACTGTTAAAAAAGATCTTTTGAGCACTATATTGTAAACAAAGACTTATGCTAATTAAGAAAACACAGCATTGTTTCTGATTCATTTTTACACCGTTTGTCCCTTTTGCCATTAGGAATCTTACGTCTACTGGAGAGGGTGGGGTGCTTTGCTTCTCTGTCCTGTAAATAGCAAAAGGAATTTCTCCCGTGGTTGAGCAGAGACCTTGGTACAAATCTCCATAAGTAGGGAACTGCGACAAAGTTGCTCGTCGAATTCGTACCTTTGAAAGAAAACAAAATAAATTTTTTTAAAATAATTATCTATTTGTTGTTTATTTTTCTTTAAGTTCCTATTATCTGACAGATTATGACTCACAATGTTCTAGTTCTATTACTCACAATGTTCTAGATCTATTACTCTCAATGTTTCAGTTTATGAATCATAATGTTCTAGTTTATGAGTCACAATGTTCTAGTTTATGACTCACAATGTTCTATTTGACGACTCATAATGTTCTAGTTTATGAATAACAATATTCTAGTTTATGACTCACAATGTTCTAGTTATGACTCACAATGTTCTAGTTTATGACTCACAATGTTCTAGTTTATGAATAACAATATTCTAGTTTATGACTCACAATGTTCTAGTTTATGAATAACAATATTCTAGTTATGAATCACAATGTTCTAGTTTATGATTCACAATGTTCTAGTTTATGAATCACAATGTTCTAGTTTATGAATGACAATGTTCTAGTTTATCAATTAAAATGTTCTAGTTTATGAAAGCACAATGTTCTAGTTATGACTTACAATGTTCTAGTTTATGACTCACAATATTCTACTTTATAACTCACAATGTTCTAGTTTATGACTCACAATGTTCTAGTTTATGACTGACAATGTGCTAACCATACACTCAGGGTGCGACGTGCCCCACACAGCAAGATAAAACTCTAAATGTCTCCTCATGGAAACACATCTACACAGCTGACAGGTTTATTTTCTCTTTGAAGATTCTGACCACACAATTGTTCACCTGATTCCTTGCTGCAGATCACACCTTACCACAGACCAAGTATAAACAACCAAAACCTGTACAATGACTACCAAGTTGTATCATGCTAACAATAAATATGTACAATATAATAGAAATCTATTTCCATGTATTTGGATCGTTATCTCATCCAAGAAGTTTTGTTTCAATGACTTACACTTGATAGATGGCCAGAGTTTTTCTCAGCATCAATGCCAAGCAGAAGTCTGACAAAACTAATGAGATAACCCTTGACAAATGTCTGAGGAAAGATAGAGAAATGACAAGAACTGACAATGTAAATATCTATGAAAGTATAAATATGTAGTTAAGAAATGTAGATATCTATAAAAAAATTTAATACCCATCAAAAATAAAAATATTAAAGTATCTCACAGACGATATATACATTCTGAACTTGTTTTCAATTTGTCATTCACTTTGTGCTACTTTTTGAAGAAATTTTTTTTTTTCACAAGGCCTGGTACATTAAGTTGGTGGGGCCTTTTCATTGTGTTACCCCCCTTCTACATTCAAACAAAGCCCAAAGGCCCAAAAATGATTGAAAGATGAAGTTAAGTCCAATAGTCTAGACAAATCTTAATGGATCCAACAATACTAGATGCTAGAATCTGACCTGATACAACAGCCTGTCCAACATGTGAGAGCTGAACACCTTCCCAGCAGCAAAGGGAAGTCTAAACATGTAGGGCAGATGAGAGACCGCCTGCTCTTTTAATCTCTGGTCGGTAGAAGAAATTGGTATCAAGCGTAAGATGTAATAAAAAATTATTAATAATAATAATAATAATAACGATTATTTGAAAATCACACTTCATCCCCAAAGGCTCGAAGCGCGGTACATACCAAACAGAAACTTGTCCCTCTTCCCCATAGACAGTGACGAGGCCATGACAGGCAATTCAGGCCCATACCAGCAAGAAGCCAGTAGAGGAGCTGCTCATTCCTGCCCAAGACAATCAGGAACTGGAACAATCTTTCAAAAGGAACGGTTGAGGCGACAACACCTCAAGCCTTCAAACCCCTAGTGCATGATTCCCTCATCAACACCAGTAACAGAAACATTGCAAATCCCATCTACATGCATAGGAGCCAAAATGATCAATAAATTGATCGTGGGCCCCTAAGATATAGAAGAAGAAGAAGTACAAAATGCAACATTACAAAAACGACCCATTCTAAGTCTTTCATACCTTGCAACCATAAACAACAAAGGCCAATATACATCCACAAGATAACAGCTAGATAGACAACATCCCCCCAGCAGGTGTTGGCGAAATAGATAAGTCTTCAAATCAGTTTTGAAAGACTCCAGTGTCTGACCGTTTCTAAGAGCGACAGGAAGGGTGTTCCAAATTGTTGGGCCAGCAAATGCAAACGTGCGCCCCTCATAAATCTCAAGGCAAACACGTGGTATCGAGAGTGTGCCACTATCAGATGAGCGGAGTTGTCTAGCGGGTACATAAGGCGTCATGAGCACTTTGAGATAGGACGGTGCCAGTTCATGCAAGCAGCGGTAGCACAGAGTTGCAATTTTGTACTCTATGCGAGCGCGGACCGGCAGCCAATGCAAATCTATCAGAAGTGTTTTAGCATGGTCGAATTTGTGTTTTCAAAGAACAATGCGAGCCGCATTATTCTGTGCTTTTTTAATTTTATCCAGGAACGCAGCTGGAAGACCCACCATAAGAGCATTCCACCAGTCCATGCGTGATAGCACGAATGTAGACATTAGCCTCTTTGATGCATCTAACGTTAAGAAAGGTCTGATATGACTAATTCTGCGCAGCTCTAGAAACATCGCCTTGCAAGGTATGTTAATGTGATTTTCCATAGCTTGTTCTGTCTAAGTAGACACCCAGGTTTCGCACTGTTTGAGCAAACTCAATCTTTATACCTGAGAGAGTAAGGGTTTGTGTGTTATTTATATATTTTAGCTTTTGAGCGGTAGCAATTGGGATTAGCTCGGTCTTTTCATCGTTCAATTTGAGCTTGTTTATAGTCATCCAGTGCTTAACTGACTCCACTGTCTTCTGTGTCATACTAAGAAGCTGAGGGAACTGAGAGGGGATCACAGATATCTGAAGTAGGGTATCATCCGCGAACATGTCATATAGCATATCAAACTGCTTGATCACTGCACCCAGGGGCAGAACGTACAATTATTGTAAGGTGGATTTCATTCATGGCTGTTACTAACAAAAATTTAAAGCTGATGTTAAATGTTTTTAAACTATTCACACAAGATTTGTTAATATGACAGAACATTGTGAACACGATCTGACCTTCTCCAGTTTGCGTATCTGGGACATGTATGTGTCCTTGGCCTTAAAATGCATGAACCTCATGTTGGATGCTTCGTTGACCTCCGTGATGATATTCACATGAGGAAACAGCCTGGTAACAGATTAGAGTCACATATATCTAACACTGCACAACTTGCTCATAGTAAAACAGTCTTGCATATAATGTCTCTTTTATCAATACTTTACGACACAGAAATGATTTTTTATTTCAAATGTATCAGAAACTAGCAATCGTTAATTATAGTAAATAATGAAGTCTCAACTTTTTTTTGACAAAATGATTCAAGTAATGATAAATATGGCTATTCCATTCATTTTGACCAGAAAGACCAGTCACTTATTCATGGATATGGCACAGCCCAACAGATGGAGCATACCGCCACAGTATTAGCCCAAAGCTTCCTCCACAATATGTAAGTTAATTAGTTAGTAGGCCACAGTAGACAATTAAGTGTTCAATAAACCTAGATATTTTCTGAATGTACTACAAACCGGGATATTTTCTGTACAGCAACAATTGTTTCAGCATCATTTAGATTCTCTTCACCCCCAGGATCAGTCTCAATATGGGATATGACCAGGTGCATTGCCTTGTTCACACCAGCAATCAGTAGGTCATCCAAGCTGGACAGAAAATGAATGATGTTGGTACGGTAAATCCTATAGTAACAGTACTAAACACTATTACTTAGATTAAAATATATATATATTTAAACATTTTTGTTACATAAATTAAATGCATCATTTATATTGAATTTTCTTATCAAAATCTCATTAAATCTCAAAAGACAGTTTATTTTGCTTATGATTACTGTTACGCACTGACTTGTATTGGGAGAAATTACTCTCCTATTTTAATTTTAATTGGCTCGTTGTAAACAGTGCCTAACAAAGGACGATACCATATAATCAACAATATTAAAGATACGACCCAAAACAGTTTCTAGTTACAATTAATTAAGATTTATTATGTCTTAAGATAATTACAAAATAAAATAAAATAAAATTACAATCTTCAACTTACAGTATGGCAGATGTCGTACCGGTACACAGTTAATACAATTAGAAATAATGATGCCAATAAATAATGCGAAATAAACACATATAAGTAGGAGCACACAAATACACAAAGAATAAAACACGCCTCGTAATGTTAAGAAAATCTATCGGAAATCTCCGTCCCTCCTCCGTGCCTGTCAATCCCTTATATAGGTGGGTCTACCGACGCCCAAGCCCTGCCTTCGAGACATTTTGAGAAAAATCCCAATCATTCTACCAAATACTATTTGGAACAGATTAATTATTTTTATTCGTTGGCGGCGTCAACAAGTTACTTCAAAGGCCTAAGCCACACCCTTTGTGAACACAGCGTCTCATGCGGGGTCAATCAGAGGGCACGCACGAGAAAATATGATGTAAACAAGCTCTCTATAACACCTCCCCTCTTAAAAGAAAAAAATTTCATTTTTCAAAAAAAAATGGAATTCTTTTTCCATTAAAATTGAAGAAAGTACATTTCTTACTCTCAAAATATTTGACAAAAAACTTCTTAACAGCTTATAAACAATAACATAAGTGAAAATTAATTTCTGGACAAAGTATCTGCAATGACATTGTCTTTGCCTTTAATATGTTTGATGTCCAAATTATATTCTTGTAAAAATAGGCTCCATCTTAACAATCTTTGATTTTTGGAGACCATCTTATTCAAAAATGTTAAAGGATTGTGATCAGTAAAAACAAGTACTGAATGTAAAGAACAACTGACATAAAAATCAAATTGTTGGAGAGCAAGAATTAAACCTAAACATTCTTTTTCTACAGTGGAATAGTTTTTCTGATGTGAGTTAAATTTCTTTGAGAAATAAGAGACAGGATGATCTACATTGTGGTCATCTTCTTGAAAAAGAACTGCACCAATGCCAACATCACTGGCATCTACAGCTAATTTAAACTGTTTGTTAAAGTCTGGTGCAATGAGAACAGGAGCATTAGCAAGTATATTTTTAATGTTTTCGAATGCTTCCTGACAAGCATCTGACCAATGAAATTTTGCATTTTTCTTTAACATATTACTTAAAGGAGAAGCAATAACTGAGAAATTTTTGCAAAATTTTCTATAATAACCTGCCATTCCCAAAAATCTCATTAACTGTTTTCTAGTAGTGGGTGGTGGAAGTGATACAATAGCATTTATCTTAGCTTGAACAGGCTTTACATGACCTTGACCCACTATGTGACCTAAATATTCCACAGTTGCATGACAAAATTCACATTTATTTAAATTTACAGTTACATTTGCCTGCAAAAATTTTTTAAACAGAGATCTTAATTGGTTTACATGAGTTGAAAAATCTTGACTGTAAATAATTACATCATCAATATAGGCGCTGCAATTTTCCTGGTCAGCAATAATGTTATTTACAAGACGTTGGAATGTAGCTGGGGCATTTTTCATTCCAAACGGCATTACTTTATATTGATATAAACCATCTGGAGTACAAAAAGCAGAGATTTCTTTTGCTCTGTCAGATAGAGGAACCTGCCAATAACCTGATAGTAAGTCTATCTTGGTTACATATTTGGCATCACCTATTCGATCTATAAGATCGTCTATCCTTGGAATCGGAAAGGAATCAGTCTTTGTGAATGCATTCACTTTCCTGAAGTCAGTACAAAACCTGTAACTTTTGTCAGGCTTTGGGACTAAAATACATGGTGAACTCCAGTTACTAGAGCTTGGTTCAATTATATCATTTTCAAGCATGTATTTTATTTCAGACCGGATTATTTCAAGTTTTTCCGGATTGACCCTATAGGGGTGTTGCTTGACCGGAACTGCATTGCCAATGTCAACATCATGTACAGCAATGTTGGTTTTATTAGGTACATCAGGGAAGAGTAAAACAAAATCTGCAATAACAGACTTAACAACATCCTTCTCTGACAATGACAAATGTCCTAGTTTCTTATCTAAGTTGGCCAATATTTCTGAATTTTTAAGTTTATAATTACCAACTTTTTCTGGGACACTATCAAAGGTTTCAGTAACATTTTCTTTAAGTACTGAAGTTACAGTTGAGATTGTGTTAACATTTGTTTCTGAGGATGGACAATGATCATCACATTTTCTATCAAAATATTCTTTTAACATGTTAATGTGACATAACTGTTTCTTTCTTTTACGATCTGGTGTTAACACAATGTAATTTAAATCATTGATTTTGGACTCAACAACATAAGGACCAAAATATCTAGCTTGTAGTGCTTGCCCTGGTATCGGCAAAAGCACAAGCACTTTGTCCCCTGAAGCAAACTGTCTGAATTTTGACTTTTTGTCATACCAAACTTTCATTTTAGATTGTGAATCTTTTAAATGTGTTTTAGCCAAATTAACGGCATTAAAAAGTTTAGTTTTAAATTTTTGGACATAGTCAAGAAGTCCTTCCGTGGGTGCCGATGACATCCACGTGTCTTTTAAAAGTTTAAGGGGACCGCGAACCGTGTGGCCAAACACCAGTTCGAAGGGGCTGAATCCAAGTGATTCTTGAACTGCTTCTCTTGCGGCGAACAGTAGCATGTTGATGCCTTCATCCCAGTCTTTCTCTTGTTCTAGGCAGTAGGTTCTCATCATGTTCTTCAACGTCTGATGGAATCGCTCAAGTGCTCCCTGTGACTCAGGATGATATGCACTCGACAAGCAGTGTTCTATGCCCAACTGGTTCATCACTTGTTTGAATATTCCAGCCTTGAAGTTGGTTCCTTGGTCAGACTGTACAGACTTCGGAAGACCAAACAATGTAAAAAACTTCGTCAAGGCTTTGACGATGTTCGGAGTCTTGATATTGCGAAGAGGAATAGCTTCTGGGAATCTTGTTGACGCACACATGATTGTCAGCAAGTATTGGTGACCTGATTTTGTCTTTGGCAGAGGTCCAACGCAGTCTATAATAACGCGACTGAAAGGTTCTTCGAATGCTGGAATGGGTTGAAGAGGAGCTGCTGGTATCTTCTGATTTGGTTTCCCTACAACCTGACAAGTATGACATGATCTGCAGTATTCAACCACATCTTTCTTGATTTTGGGCCAAAAGAAGTGCGACGTGATTTTGTGATATGTCTTCTTTACTCCCAAATGACCTGAAAGTGGTGAGTCATGGGCTAAGTTCAGGACTTCGTTCCGGAATGGGGTAGGAACTACTATTTGATGAACTATCCTCCATTCTTCGTCAGCATTTGCGTCTGGAGGTCGCCATTTTCTCAAAAGTATGTCATCTTGAAGGTAATAACATATAGGGAATTGTTCAGCTTCTTCTTGGGTCAAAGCGTTCTCTCGAAGTTTGACTATTTCTGGATCACTCTTCTGTTCTTCAATAAGTTGCATTCGAGTTGGAGTCTTGTAATTACTAGCCTCTTCATTTAGACTTGCAAAAAATGTTTTTCCCAGGTCAATTTCAGGAAGAATTTTATTGCTTTTTTGTGAAATCTCTTTTGTGGAGATCTTGGAACTCATGGCCCTTGTCACAGCACATGCTGGATACAATTCTTGATCTTCTTCCTGATTTTCATTTAAACAAGGTTCATGAGTAACGATGGGCTCGGCTATCACCTTCCCACCAGCTAAGTCATTGCCTAGCAGCAACGAGATGCCGTCCAATGGTAATGTTGGTCGGACACCCACAACCACAGGTCCGGAGACTAAGTCTGATTTTAGGTTGATGAGATGTAAAGGTACATCTATGCATCCCAGCTCTACACCTCGTAACAGGATGTTGCTCCCAGTAGCAGTAGATTCAGACAAGGGAAGTATACCCTCAAGTAGTAAGGACTGTGAAGCACCTGTATCTCGTAAGATTTTGATTGGTTGTAGACTGGAAAAATCACCTGGCAGTGATACGAATCCTTCCGATATGAAAGGCATGAAGTCTTGTATGACATCAGTAGTTTCTGATGTAGAATTTTGGACCTTGGTAGGTAAACTCTTGTTGGAGTCTTGAGAACATTCGGCTAGGGTAGAGGAAGTAAAACTCTGGGTAGAGTCGTCAAAACTTGCACACAAGTCCTCAGTAAAACGCCCTCTGGAGGTAGACCTCTTCTTGGAGCAAAAGGATCTTGGCGACAAGCTCATAAAACTCGCAGTCGAAGCAGGAACTTGGCTGGAGTCAGTAAAACTAGCCTTATTGTTCATTTTGAAACTCTTTGATGAGTCGTGACAAACCTCTTTGAAGTTTGTATGGACATCTGGAGAGCAAAAACTCTTGAATTTTGAAAATGTGTTTCCAGATGTATGACGAGACGTACAAGCGGAGACTTTGTGTTGTGTACCAGGATGTGTGGTCTTCTCAGTTTTCTTCTTGAGTTTCCAGCAATCATCCCTCGTATGTCCTTCTTTTTTACAGTAGGCACATGTGTCTTTTGCACCAATTTCTTTCGTACCGGGCTTGAATGGTTTTTGTGGAGGTTTACTGTAAGTTGATACAGCTGTCTTATTGTGCCTGTCATTTTTGGTGTCAGATGGATTCTTGGAAAGTTGATGTGAGATGGTGAAGTCGTCGGCTAACACTGCTGCCGTATGTGCGTCACCTTCGCCACGGTCTGCAATATGTATTCGCACCTCAGTACGAACACAGTTCTTGAACTCCTCCATCAGAATGAGGTTCTTGAATTTCTTGAAGTCTGTCTCGGTGTTGGTTGCGTGCAGCCACTTGTCCAGGAGCCGTTCCTTTTCCCGGAGGAACTCAACATGAGTCTGGCCATCACGTTTCCACAGTTCCCTAAACTTTTTACGGTATGCTTCGGGGACACATTCATAAGCCTTAAGTATTAATGATTTTACTAGGTTATAGTCCCCGCGCTGTTCCGCATTCAGGGACACAAAGACTTCAGATGCCCTTCCGGTCAAGGCTGGTTGAAGTAAGGTGGACCACATAGTTTCAGGAATTTTAAAATTTTGGGCAGTTATCTCAAACTGCGCAAAATATTGGTCAACCTCTTTTTCTGTAAATTTAGGGATTACTTTTGCAAATTTAATTGCATCGCAACCCTGACCGGCTGGAGCCGTGAGTCTATTTTCCATTGCTCCTAAATTGGCCGTTATTTCCATTTGTTTTAACTTTATTGTTAGCTCTCTATCTTTTTCTTCTTTCTCTCTCTGAGCTTTTAGCTCCAGCTGTTTAAGCTCTCGTTCTTTTTCTTCTTTCTCTCTCTGAGCTTCAAGCTCCAGCTGTTTCAGCTCACGTTCTTTATTTAGCTCCAGCTGTTTAAGCTCACGTTCTTTTTCTCTCTGGGCATCTAGTTCCATTTGTTTGAGCTTTAGTTGGAGCTCCATACTTGGATCAGTCGGTTGTGTGACTGAGGCCAGTTCATCTTCAGATAACATGTCTTCATCCACAAAGTGAACGATGATCATGTCTCGTATGGTCTTTTTTACGGCCGAATGAGCTACATTTATTTCTAGAGCTTTAGCAATGGAAAATAGCTCCTTCCTAGAACATTTGTCTAATGCCTCTACTGATGGGTTTTCAATATCAAAATCCATTTTGACACAGGCAAAATATAACAATGATTTTTTTATAAAAATTTAAGCTTAGTGCACACACTAATGAAAAAATTGTAACCAGCTCTGTTGTTGGTGTCGTAAAATGGTATCGTGAACTCAAATTAGTTTGAGTGTATTAAGGTAAACAGTGGGTCAAAATCCACAGAAAAAGCACTCAATTTATTATTGGTGTAATAAAAATTATGGATTAAAATTATCCTCGGAAAATCCCACAATTTGTTAAAATTGGGGTCTAATGAGAATAAAATATGGATTCGGTTATCCCGGACGAGCCCCCAATTTGTTACGCACTGACTTGTATTGGGAGAAATTACTCTCCTATTTTAATTTTAATTGGCTCGTTGTAAACAGTGCCTAACAAAGGACGATACCATATAATCAACAATATTAAAGATACGACCCAAAACAGTTTCTAGTTACAATTAATTAAGATTTATTATGTCTTAAGATAATTACAAAATAAAATAAAATAAAATTACAATCTTCAACTTACAGTATGGCAGATGTCGTACCGGTACACAGTTAATACAATTAGAAATAATGATGCCAATAAATAATGCGAAATAAACACTTCGTTGGCGGCGTCAACAAGTTACTTCAAAGGCCTAAGCCACACCCCTTTGTGAACACAGCGTCTCATGCGGGGTCAATCAGAGGGCACGCACGAGAAAATATGATGTAAACAAGCTCTCTATAACAATTACAAAAATAAATTTCATGTTTGTTGATGGTGTCTAAAAAGGATATATATGGAAACTTAATTTAATTTAAAGATTTGGTATGTTGAATCCATAATTTTAACCCATTAAAAATTTTACATAGCTGCAATATCATTTCCTGTTTGCGTCTGTGCCCATCCTTTCTTTTTTAAAAATTCAATTGGTATGATAAATAATTTAAATTGATACAACTGTTTTGTTTAACAGATGACTGCATTCATTTGCGGAAACTTTTAATTTTCTTCTTTCAATAAAGTTTCACCATACTGTTTTACTCACACAAATTTTTGTGTGTCTTATTCATTTTACGACACAAGCCAAATTTGCTATTGACAAGCATCGAGACAAAGGTTTTTTTTTTACTTTGCCTTTGGGACCTAAGCGGGAAATAATCTCAGTCTAGACATTGTGGTGAGTTTTTAAGATAAGATTCTTTTACTGATTCAAATAAATGGACATATTTTTTATTACATTGTACATATTCATTTTCAGCATATAAATAAATACATATTTTAACTAAGACAACATTTACAATTATTACAATTTAAAGAGATTACATTGAATATATTTCTCTAGCATGAAAGTCAGCAATCAATGAACTCCTTAACCTAATTTGGTAACTGCTGGGGGAGTACACTGATCAATTCCTACAGACTGGCAAACAAAATAATTTGTATATCTTTCGGTCCTAGCTTTAACAGAATGAATTTGCCCTGATTGAGAGCTGATCTTAGGTATGTGAAATCATGATGAAGAGGGTGGGATATATCATCCAATTTTTTTATAGTTTTTACAACAGCATTTTTCTTCCAATCTATGTTGAACTGAATAGAATTCCCATTTGTAGTGCTAAGCTGTCTTGCCCACCATCAAAAATAGATATCATTTTTTTAATTGATTTAACAATATCCTAAGATAATATAAAGACACACTCACTTTGTTATGTTTCCTTGCATCCAGAAGACAAGAGGGAAATGTGCAATGGTCTCCATGAAGAAGCGTGTGGGTCTAGAGAGTAGAGGCAATGATTACAAGATTAATTAGCATTAGCAGGTGCAAGCCTGCTGGTGCCATTGTTAAAAACCAACAATTATCATCATCATCATTGAAATCTAGTGGCCATTTGGGCATGTGCCCTTCGGCCTGCGGCCATGGTGAAGAATTTACACTCTCTGAGCAGCTGTTCTTTGTTTGTATATAGGGTAATGGTGTAGTCTGGTGTTTTTGGTAGTTAGTTTAGGCGTAAGTTCTGAAGTGACAGCCAGTGGAAGATGTAATTTGTTACAGTCTGGAAGAGGTGATGTGTTAACGTCTCATTTGGATGTCTGCATGGGGGCTAATTGGTGTTTTATCCAGTCTTATGCAGTCAAGGTGGGAATTAAATTGCATGTGACCTGTGGGCTGTTTGTGTCTTTTGAGGCAATTTATTGGATCTTTAGGGTTGAGCATGTGTGTGAAAACACATTTTCCTGTTGAGTTCATAGCACATCCATTTAACCACTCTTCTTTTTTGTTGGCTCTGATAATCTGTTTCATTATTGAGTGATGCAGGTATGATTTGTAGTGTTGAGTGATGCAGGTATGATTTGTAGTGTTGAGTGATGCAGGTATGATTTGTAGTTTTGAGTGATGCAGGTATGATTTGTAGTGTTGAGTGATGCAGGTATGATTTGTAATGTTGAGTGATGCAGGTATGATTTGTAGTGTTGAGTGATGCAGGTATGATTTGTAGTGTTGAGTGATGCAGGTATGATTTGTAGTGTTGAGTGATGCAGGTATGATTTGTAGTATTGAGTGATGCAGGTATGATTTGTAGTGTTGAGTGATGCAGGTATGATTTGTAGTGTTGAGTGATGCATGTATGATTTGTAGTGTTGAGTGATGCAGGTATGATTTGCAGTGTTGAGTGATGCAGGTATGATTTGTAGTATTGAGTGATGCAGGTATGATTTGTAGTGTTGAGTGATGCAGGTATGATTTGTAGTGTTGAGTGATGCATGTATGATTTGTAGTGTTGAGTGATGCAGGTATGATTTGTAGTGTTGAGTGATGCAGGTATGATTTGTAGTGTTGAGTGATGCAGGTATGTTGGGCTGTTCATTGGAAGGTCCCTGGTTTCTTAGTTTGTCTGCTCTTCAGTGTCCTGGTATAATGTAGTGTCCTGATCTCTATGGTTAGTTTGACTTCCTCCGTTTTGAGGAAAGTGTTGATTTTCAGAAGTAATGATTTAACTGTTGATGTTATGAGATCTTGAGGCTCAGCAACCTCAAGTATTCATTTGCAGTTGGAGAAGATAATGAAATGTCTCAGTTTGCTGGGATAAACTGCAAAGGTGGCAGATAAGTGGCATCATGCTACTTAAATAGAAATGGCTTCTGCTTCATAATTACTGCAGATTGCCCCACAAGGGTTGCACAGTTCATCACATGATCGGTCTGGTACTCTTTTAGCCTGAATGTAGCACTCATTCCAAAGCTGACCATCCATGTATATATTTGGATTATAGCTTCTTGTTCGGATGCCATGGTTGTTTCTGTAGCTATTATTGTGTGTAATGGGTCTGTACTTTGATATCTTTTGATTATGTCTGTTTTGATTTATGCTGTTGTAAATGTTGGTTTTAGGTATTTGGGAATAATTTGTAAGTTTTCTCTGTCTGTTGGTAGGTGGCATTGCTCTTCAATTTCAGAGGACACATCTTGTATTGATTTCTATTTAATTCTATGGTTTGGTCTCCGATTTTCAACCATTAGTCTTTTTGGCTGCTGCTTGTCCAGCCTTCTGTACCTTTCAACCATTTTGAAAACTGCTACCTCTCTTCTAAAAGTTTTATGGTCAACATTAGTAGGCTATGTATTTTGCATACTGTTGTCTGGTTAGATCTTAGACCTCCCAAGATGAATGGCCTGGCTTTGTACTTCCGATTATCAAAACGTTTAGCTTTTGGAGAAATGCCTAACTTTTGAATGAACCATTTTTCTACCTACCATGTATTGTTTCAGCAGCTTTGTAAGCACAATTTAAACACATTGAAAAACGTGGCAAAGACTGGCTGAATGACATTCTTCATAACTTGACATGGCTGATCTACTATCTGAATAATCTAAAATAGAAATTCCTCTAATTTAAAATAAAATTGCATCTAACTTCTCTACCTTTTTTTTTTTTTTTTTTAACTAACCATACTTAACCTGCCTGCCTTATCTCCTGGTTGCTTATGGCCAGTAGGTTACTGACTGGACTTAACGAAAATATATTCTGCCAAGTAGGTTACTCACTGTACTTAACACAAGTAAATTCTGTCAAGTAAGGTACTGACCGTTCCTCAAACATCAAAACAATCGGACTCAATGATAGCTGACTCAGGTAGTTTGAACGGAGAGGTATGATGAAGTTGTAGAGTCCTGGGCAGCACTGTCTTACGGATAGAATGACCAGCTGATGATCCCACCGATGGTCAGAGGCAATCTTGAAGCTGCAGTGCTCACAGGGCTGCATGGGAGACAACACATCATCTTTTTAAATTGTCAGACCTTTGTGTATGGGAGACAACACATCATCTTTTTAAATTGTCAGGCCTCTGTGTATGGGAGAAACACATCTTTTTAAATTGTCAGACCTTTGAGCATGGGAGACAACACATCATCTTTTTAAATTGTTTGACCTTTGTGTATGGGAGACAACACTATCTTTAAATTAATTTCCAGACCCCATTTTTAATTGTCACAGTTGTACATGGGAGCTAAAAATAATCTCAATGACTAGAATTTTTGCACAAGTAATAAAGATGAAACACTGCATTTAAATGGCATGCCTTGAATTTAAACCTTTCAACTTTTCTAGTCTTTCTTATTTTCCATGGTACAATGGCTCATTTGTCTCATGTAGGCAGAGCGTGTCAGCTGTTTCCTGACATGGGAGACCATGGCTCATTTGTCTAAAGTAGGCCGAGCCTGTCAGCTGTCTCCTGACATGGGAAACCCTATTTTAATAATAAAGGAGGGGCTGGCCCTTTCTTGTCACTGTCCTAGGAGGAAAACAGCTAGGTCTTCCAGTAATAATTAGGGACAATTAACTCTACAATTACTTGAAATAACTTATAAGATGAATTCTTTTGTTAACTTGTTCATTACTGACAATTAATACATAGCATACATAGATTCTGACAACTAATAAATAGTATACATAGATTCTGACAACTAATAAATAGTATACATAGATTCTGACAACTAATAAATAGTATACATAGATTCTGACAACTAATAAATAGTATACATAGATTCTGACAACTAATAAATAGTATACATAGATTCTGACAACTAATAAATAGATTCTGACAACTAATAAATAGTATACATAGATTCCGACAACTAATAAATAGTATACATAGATTCTGACAACTAATACATAGTATACATAGATTTCACTAGCTTGACTCTCAAACCTGGTGTGTTTTTCAGGCTTTTAAGTGCCCTGATATCTTTTAATGATTGCAGGCCCTTGTCTGAAATACTTGTTTTAATGATTGCAGGCCCCTGTCTGAAATACTTGTTTTAATGATTGCAGGCCCCTGTCTGAAATACTTGTTTTAATGATTGCAGGCCCTTGTCTGAAATACTTGTTTTAATGATTGCAGGCCCCTGTCTGAAATACTTGTTTTAATGATTGCAGGCCCCTGTCTGAAATACTTGTTTTAATGATTGCAGGCCCCTGTCTGAAATACTTGTTTTAATGATTGCAGGCCCCTGTCTGAAATACTTCTTTTAATGGACATTTTATCCATGTTAATAAAAAATAGGCAATGTATCTATGGAGCTTATTGTAGGAAGTATTAAGAAATGCAGAGAACTTAGAGACACACCTTTCCCCACTCCAAGCAGCACAAGGCTCTGGGTTCTTTATGAAGGTGACACAAGGTACGCCTGGTTCCCAGGTTTAAAGTGCTAGGTGGTGGCCCAATGGTCATACTGAAACAGAGGGTGGACTGTTTGGTTACATCACATACAAGGCAACAATAAGTAGACATACAAGACAACTATAAGTAGACATACAAGGCAACAATAAGTAGACATACAAGACAACAATAAGTAGACATACAAGGCAACTATAAGTAGACATACAAGACAACAATAAGTAGACTTACAAAACAACAATAAGTAGACATAAGAAAAAACTATATGTAGGCATAGGAGACAACAATAAGTAGTCAAAAGTCAAAGGAGAAAACAATAAATAGACATTCAAGACAACTATTAATTTTCAACAATCAGCAGTCAACCAGTAGATAGATTCAACTATTGTCCTTCCTGGTGTGAAAACATGAATTTTTAAAATCACTTTTCAGATACCCCTACAATTCAAGCAAACAAGACTAGCAGCATAGCTAAATCAGTGGTTTCCAAACGATAGAAACTTTGCACAATTTTTTTTTTAAATCGCGTCACTAGATTTTTCCTAAACAAATAGAAAATTACAACAGGAAATAATTTTAAAAAATGTTATTGATGGCAGAGAGCGGGCCAGTCTTGAAAAGATCTCTAAGAATTACCTTTCCTTTCCCAAGTTGATCATGTGCTGTACAATCTTCAAGGGGACGGTGGCAGCATGGACACGATCAAATGTCTCTAGCCCACCGGTCATGCTGGCCTTGGCCATACCATTGGATTTCCCAGCCAAGGAGAGAGCTTCCTTAGAGAGTAAGGGTTCACCTAGCAAGAGAATCAAATTAATATATGTTCAAAAGAAAATAAATCTCACACTATAGTAACTTCCAATCTCATAAATTCGGCCACAGTAGTTCATTCCTATTTCATCTTCCTGTTTTAGAGTGATGGGATTTTTTATTTTTGGCATCCGTTCACCTATATGTGACAATGGTGTAGACTCTGGCATCCGTTCACCTATATGTGACAATGGTGTAGACTCTGGCATCTGTTCACCTATATGTGACAATGGTGTAGACTCTGGCATCCGTTCACCTATATGTGACAATGGTGTAGACTCTGGCATCCGTTCACCTATATGTGACAATGGTGTAGACTTTGGCATCCGTTCACCTATATGTGACAATGGTGTAGACTCTGGCATCCGTTCACCTATATGTGACAATGGTGTAGACTCTGGCATCTGTTCACCTATATGTGACAATGGTGTAGACGCTGGCATCCGTTCACCTGTATGTGACAATGGTGTAGACTCTGGCATCCGTTCACCTGTATGTGACAATGGTGTAGACTCTGGCATCCATACAATGGTGCATAGGATGAAATCATAAGACTTTAGATTTGTTTTTAGGAGGATAAGCTGGTTCCCTTGATGGCAAATAGCTTCTCTCCACGCATCTGGATAGATGATACAGCTTGGCACCAGTAGCATCTGGTTAATCAAATGGAACATCCTATGTAGATGATACAGCTTGGCACCAGTAGCAGCTGGTTAATCAAATGGAACATCCTATGTAGATGATACAGTTTGGCACCAGTAGCATCCCAGAAGTTGCCAGTCTGATTTCAGAGTTTCCTTCTCTTAGATGAGTTGCCATCCAAGGTTAACAAGTTCCCATCCACTTCTAATTCATTTTTAATGCTTATGTTTATTTGACATGCCATGATAGAACTGATAAGCTTAACTTACCTTCTAATTCCTTCCTTTTATTTTTTGCCATGGGTACGTCTATATTAAAGGTTGTAGGATTAACCTTCCTTCTAATCCCTTCCTTTTATATTTTGCCATGATGGCTCCTATGATAGAGGTGTTAGGATTAATTTACCTTCTAGTCCCTTCCTTATATTTTTGGCCATGGTGGCGCCTATGTTAGAGGTGATGGTACTGAAGACAGATTCCTCATCTACTTCTTCTTGCTCTACATCCAAGTCTTGCATGAATTTGTGCATCTCCTTGACAATCATGGCTGTAAGGAGAGACATAACTTGTGGATTATAAACAAAACAAATTATGCCATCAAACGTTAACATTTAAAAGTAAACAGGGACCAGCAGTGCCCATCCAATTAATCCCCAGGGACCAGCAGTGCCCATCCAATTAATCCCCAGGGACCAGCAGTGCCCATCCAATTAATCCCCAGGGACCAGCAGTGCCCATCCAATTAATCCCCAGGGACCAGCAGTGCCCATCCATTTAATCCCCAGGGACCAGCAGTGCCCATCCAATTAATCCCCAGGGACCAGCAGTGCCCATCCAATTAATCCTCACGGACCAGGAGTGCCCATCCAATTAATCCCCAGGGACCAGCAGTGCCCATCCAATTAATCCCCACTAGAATATAACCATGACAAACTCACTCTGCCATCACGGCCAGTCTTTGTCATCAGATTTTATGATTACACATGTTGGGATGTGGGCAATATATCTCCTGGATAACACTGCTAGAAATTATATCATTTGTGATTTGGGCCACTGCATTATTTATTTAATGACACATCAGTGGATCGTTCATTCTCAAATCCATTTTTGTAATTTTTGTGGTGACTATGACTTGAATCAATGGAGAAAACAAAGTTACATCCTTAACCTTGATTTCAATAAAATGGCAGTCAAAAACTACATTAAATAATTCATTGCAATAAAATAAAGCATCAGAAGCTGCCTTGAACCCATTAGAGCACATTTGTCAAACGCAAGGCCCGCGGGCCACATCCGGCCCACTGTACATTTATATCAGGCCCGAGAGGTCTTAACCGGGGTACAATTATATTTGCCCAGAGAGATCATTTTAGGCAAAAAAATTATTTAATAGTTCTGCCATATAAAGGGCAAATCAAATTCCCTAATTAGCAGCCTTGATGATTGTCTATCTGAGATCAGAATAAGCGAAAATAAAAGTTGTGTAGTGATTAGATGTTCTTCATTAAAGTAACATAGCAACTTTCAGTTGCTGCTCATTTTGCATTGGTGCATAAGAAATGAAGGTAGTGTAATTCCAGGATATTACATCCCCTGTTCGAGCTACGCCTAAATTGATAAAAATCAATCGTCTGTCAGTAGACACTCCAGCTTTTTTTTTTTTTACTCAAAGTTAGCCTTAAAATGGCAAAGAGAAAAGTTGATTCTGAAATAAGAGCCTTTCAAAGTCGCTGGGAGGCTAAAAACCTGTGTGTCTAATTTGTGGAGATAATGTGGCTCTGATCAAGGAATATAATCCGAGACGGCATTACGAGACTAAACATCGAGACGAGTTAAAAAGCTTGAATGCAGAGCAGAAGCTACAAGAATTGAAGAGGAATTTTAAATCACAGCAGACGTTTTTCCTCAAACCAAAATCACAAACTGAGGATGCTGTGAAAGCAAGTTTTATTGTGGCGGAGGAGATTTCCTGATATTCTTATATAAAGTGATCATGGGACTGGTGCCGGCATTCCCAGCAGGCACGTACCTCACCCCACAGAAGCCGGGTAGACTGATCAGAGCAAAACGCTCACTGAACACTGACTTCACCACTGACATTCCCATAAACAATTACACCAGAAACAATAGAAAATGCTTCAAATTGCCTCAGTGCAGTATCAACAATCTTTCTTCCCATGCACAATAATAGCATGGAACCACCTGAACGATGCCACTGTGAACTCGACATTGGTCGAAAGCTTCAAGGCTGCCCTGGCATCAGCTAGGAGCTGTTAAAATAGCAACATCATATCCCCAACCGTTGCAAAGATGCCAGTACATGGATGCAGCAACGAAACATTACCAGAACCAGAATAAGGCTGGCCGATTTACAGGAGAGTTTCTGAAGAGCTGCATGATGAAAGTGTGTGATGTCTTGTGTTCACACAAAATCAGATGTTTGTAAATGTAAGACTTAGCAAAAATACAGTAGCTGAACGGGTTTGTGAGATGGCCACTGATATCAAAACACAGCTGATCGAAAAAAGGAAAGGCTTTGTTGCATTCTCACTTGCTGTCGATGAAAGTAATGACACGACTGACACTGCACAACTCGCCATCTTCATCCCTGGAGTGGACTCCAGTTTAAATGTTATAGAACAAATATTGGAAATGAAATCCATGCATGGGACATCGACAGGAAAAGACATTTTTGACAATGTATGTTAAAGTTTAACCAGCATGAACCTGCCTTGGGACAAACTTGTTGGACTTACAACAGATGGAGCACCGGCGATTTGTGGCGGAAAAAGTGGACTAGTTGGAAAGATGTGTTTAAAGATGCAGGAGAACTGTACTGGTGAACTGATAGCATGTTATTGCATCATAAACCAAGGATAGCTGTGTGTTCAAGTCCTCAACATGGATGGTGTAATGAGCACTGTAACACAAACCGGCAACTTTATCAGAGCCAAAGTTTTAAATCACCGCAAATTTCAGCATTTTTTGCAGGAAATAGACTCAACGTTCGGCGACATGCCTTATCATACAATAGGTGTGGTGGCTAAGTCGGGGAAAAGTTCTTAGTAGATTTTTTTCATCTGCTCGAGGAAATTTTTCAATTCATGGACAGCAAAGGAAAAAAGACTCCAGTTTTTCGGGATAAAAAGTATAAATATGAGTTGGCGTTTCTGTCTGACACAACCACTCATCTCAAGGACTTGAGCCTACAAGCTGCTTATGAGACACAAATGCACCAGTGCAACTTGTCTCACTATTCTTGTAGCCAAGCAATGTTGAACCAAGTCAACACTATGTTGTTTCCCAATGCACACTTTGCTAAAAACTTAGCTTACTTCGTACCGAATTCGCACAGCGCTTTAGTGACTTTGAAGAACAGAAATGTAATTTTGAGCTGTTTGGTAACTCATTTGTCATGGAGTGGAAACAGCACCTGCACATTTGCAGATGGGGCTAATAGAGCTGCAGTGTAATGAGACACTAAAGGCAAAGTATGACACTGTGGGACTGCACAGTTCATTCATTTCATTCCAGAAGAGATCCCCCAGCTTCGTCTACATGCAGCTCGATCCTTGAGCATGTTTGGTAGCACATATCTGTATGCCAGTTATTTTCTGTGATGAAGATTAACAAGACATCATACAGGAGTTGTCTCACTGATGAACACTTGCGTCCGTTATGGGAATCTCAATGACACAAAACGTCACTCCCAACATAAACGAACTTGTAGCCAAGACAAGATGCCAAACATCTAGCTCTGATAAATAAGGATAAGAGTGAAAATGAGTAAGCCAATGATTTTTAATTTAAATTTTTTCCTGTTTTAATTTATATAAATGTTTAAAAAGGGTTCATTTTCACTTATTAAATGTTCATATTGTTCGGTGATTTGACTTTTGGCCCGCCAAGCTATTGAGTTTGACACCCCTGCATTAGAGGGTTCACAGAAGCTTATTTAAGCTGTAGAAGTTTTATAGAATAATAATGAATGTGAACATAGCCGTTTAGCGGAGCAAAGAGGGTATATATTGTTTAACTTAGCCAGGGGTTCATGGCCTGAGATTCACAGACCACTAAGGTAGACCTATTTCCAACGACAACTGCCCAAAATATCATCCTTTTATTGCTCATATTATCCTCTTATTGCTCAGAATATCTGGCACTTGGAGCATGCAGCGTTGACAAACAACAAGTTCAAGATGCGGGAGTTTCAATGTTACTTTTTGCGCCTACCGTCATTAATTAAAACTGTATGGGGCAATCAATTTTCATTTATGTTTATCCCTTACGTGCAAATTCTGTGCATGTACTTTTTTTTTATAGTATAGGGAGGGGTCCATAGATTATGCCTGATTTTTCAAAGAACCACTGAATTAGGCAGAAAATTATTCTCAGAGAGCGTTCTTAATTAAAAAAACAGTACTGTACATCCTTTATTTTAAATGAAGAGCTTAACTTTAGTCTAAAAAAACCCAGATTTTCTACCTGGATTTTGTTGACATTAATTTGATAATTCTGTTTCTCTTTTTAACTTAACAACTAGTGATCTAACTAAATCACAGCACAACCAGATATATAGTGTTGACAGAATGACATATGGATTATTCTAGCTAAATTGATCAACTTTCCTAAGTGTACCCTTTTCTAGAGCCAGGGCCCATAATATGGTCAGATTTCTAAATGTTGCACTTGGTCTTAAGATCAAATTGATCTGCCTTGAACTGCTGAATGAAAATGTATTTTAAACATGTCTCTACCAATCACAAGCAGGAAAAGTTTTTTCTGAGAGAAATCTTGAATTGTGGATTATACCACATAAATCACCCATAAAGCCATTAATTAATCTATTTTAAAACTGCTCAGAACTTCAATATTTGAGTCTTTTAGATGTGAGACTAAGGCTTAAAAGACCATTTGAAAATGGTGTGGTTTTAGTAAGAGAAGGACAGTTAGAAAGTTGAGGGGATCTTAGAACAGTGTCTTGTGCAGGATGGGAGGCTTTAGGTCAAGTGCAACAGTTCATTGAGTAGGAAGGTCTAGTTCATTGAGTAGGAAGGTCTAGTTCATTGACTAGGAAGGTCTAGTTCATTGAGTAGGAAGGTCTAGTTCATTGAGTAGGAAGGTCTAGTTCATTGAGTAGGAAGGTCTAGTTCATTGAGTAGGAAGGTCTAGTTCATTGAGTAGGAAGGTCTAGTTCATTTCCTCACCTATATTCTTACTCCTTTTTTCAGTATCTGCTTTCTCATCATCAACAATCTTTCCATTTGATTTTTTACCGCGTGCTACATTTAAAAAGGAATAAAATTATTGTTAAGCTGACATATTTTCTATCTTTTTATTGATATGAGAATTTTGTTTAAAGTCTTATGGGAAGAAAACCGTTTAAGCCAGCGTTTTAATTGTTTTTAAGTTGTACGATTTTAGCTGCCTCATATTTACAGCCCAACAGATCAAGTGATTAAGCTTGGCGTCCCCAATAGTATGGATTAGCGTGAGTGTTATAATAGTTATACACTGGTAAATTTGTGAAGACATGTTAGTGTGGCATACACTGACAGTTTGAGTATTGCTGATGGTATTGTAACCATTATTACATAGGTTGTATGCATTATTTGCCTCACATATAAATGTGTTTATAAGCTACAGGCATTAGCTTTTGAATAAATATATATTCATAACGCATTATATGTTATTTATAATTATAAAGGTATTAATCCTATAGTCAGGGCAAAAGGCTTGGTATTAAACAATAATGTACCAGGTATCCTAAACAACAACTGTAGTAATACATTTATTTCTCCTTAATTTTTCTTCCAAAAGAAATGATCAATATCTTTTCCTAATTTTCTACTCTCTGGGAAAATGTTCAATTTTTTTTTTAACAGAGTAACTTGTCCTTGCAAATTGTCTTCTTTTTGTTGCCTATTGAGATCAAAATTTGCATTAAAATGACCAAATCTAGCATTGAAGACACACTAACAGTTGTGTCCCCTTTGCCGGCCTCCTCAAATCCCTTGTTATGCGCCCCCCCCCCCCCCCCCCCCCNTTGGTCGGCTGAAGGCGGCTTCTGGAAAACACACATTGTTTGGACTGTTGTTGGTCGGCTGAAGGCGGCTTCTGGAAAACACACATTGTTTGGACTGTTGTTGGTCGGCTGAAGGCGGCTTCTGGAAAACACACATTGTTTGGACTGTTGTTGGTCGGCTGAAGGCGGCTTCTGGAAAACACACATTGTTTGGACTGTTGTTGGTCGGCTGAAGGCGGCTTCTGGAAAACACACATTGTTTGGACTGTTGTTGGTCGGCTGAAGGCGGCTTCTGGAAAACACACATTGTTTGGACTGTTGTTGGTCGGCTGAAGGCGGCTTCTGGAAAACACACATTGTTTGGACTGTTGTTGGTCGGCTGAAGGCGGCTTCTGGAAAACACACATTGTTTGGACTGTTGTTGGTCGGCTGAAGGCGGCTTCTGGAAAACACACATTGTTTGGACTGTTGTTGGTCGGCTGAAGGCGGCTTCTGGAAAACACACATTGTTTGGACTGTTGTTGGTCGGCTGAAGGCGGCTTCTGGAAAACACACATTGTTTTGACTGTTGTTGGTCGGCTGAAGGCGGCTTCTGGAAAACACGGTGGTCTTTTTTTCAGGTTTACCCTTACTTTGTTTCACTCATTTCCTTTTACCTAACCTTTTACTTTGACTGCATCAAAAAATCCACTGAAGAGCTCATGTTTTCATATGCAATACACAATGAATGGAACAAAAAAGGAACCAGTAATCTTTAGGACTCTATAAACAATTTTTTTTTTTGTTAAGGCCACTTGAGATGTGTTTTCATACACCATCCTTCCTAGTAACACAAATAAAAAGATAATGAACTTACCAATATTCTTGTTTCTTGTCTCTGACGTGCTCTTGATCTCATCCAGGTCATTGGGTGAAATCTTCATGTTCTCCTCCCTGGACAAGCTCATGTAGAAACAGTAATCTGTTGCCTTCATGACGTAATCAGGACCTGGGTTCAGTTGAAGTTTGGCTTCACCAGCATTGGAGTCCAGGACCCCTATCAGGTTTACTCCATACCTAAACAGAAAAAATCATGTTCACCACTAAGATGACTATGTCATTACACAAGACATCATGTTCACCAAGAAGTTGATTGTGTAACAACACAAATTTAATTTCTTACAAAATTTATTGATTAATATTTTACAATTTTTTTAAATAAAAAAAATAATAAAATTCTGGGTGAAATAAATAAGTGAGAAGTTTGGGTGTGGTGGATGGGGGATGGCCTTGTTCAAACAAAATGATCCAATTGTTACAAATAAATAAGTGAGAAGTTTGGGTGTGGTGGGTGGGGGGTGGCCTTGTTCAAACAAGATGATCCAATTGTTACAAATAAATAAGTGAGAAGTTTGGGTGTGGTGGGTGGGGGGTGGCCTTGTTCAAACAAGATGATCCAATTGTTACAAATAAATAAGTGAGAAGTTTGGGTGTGGTGGATGGGGGATGGCCTTGTTCAAGCAAGATGATCCAATTGTTACAAATAAATAAGTGAGAAGTTTGGGTGTGGTGGATGGGGGATGGCCTTGTTCAAACAAGATGATCCAATTGTTACAAATAAATAAGTGAGAAGTTTGGGTGTGGTGGATGGGGG